ATTCTAGAGAGAGAGAGAGAGAGAGAGAGAGAGAGAGAGACGTCTTCACTCTTCAAATCAAATTGTCTTCCAAATTAAACAAAAAAGCAGACAAATTTTGCTTGCCCACAAATGCCCTCTGCAACCCCCCAAAAAAAATCCCATCTTCATCATCAACTTCACTGTCTTTCATGACAACTATAATGTCTCTAATTTTCTTTTATATATTTGCCCGAATTATGTGGGCTTTTGGGGTCCTTTGCCTTGGTCAGAATTTGTTTTTTCATCCTTACTTTTCTTTTCCTTCTCACAGAGGAAACAGGAAAGCAAAGAAAGAGAACCTTCCCACCTCCCCCAAACCTTCTCTATTTTCTCTCTCTTGTTTCTGTCCTATCTCTCTACTCTATCTCTATCTTTTCTCTCTACATGACTTCTTTATTGCTTTGTCCACACCGCTTTCATATTCAATTTCAATCACCATACACCAGTTTTCTTGTTCATTTATCACTCTTTGCTCTCTCCCCTTTCTTCCTCTGGGTTTTCACCAGATAGCCCTGATAGATAAAATAATATCACCCGTCTGATCATCTTCAAGATCACAAATTTTTCTTTGATCTGATGTCTAAGAAGGGTGAAAGGGTTGTTTTCGATTCAGCAACAAATTATGGTGTTGGACCGTACGAGGATGCTAAAGCGAAGCTGAAGCATCAAAATCTTCTGCAGGACTATGAAGAGTTGCAAAGGGTACTTTTTTATTGCTATTTTGTTTTGGGTTGTTGTTTTTCTTGTGTAATTTCTAAGAAGAGTTGCAAAGGGTACTTTTTTATTGCTATTTTATTTTGGGTTTTCGTTTTTCTTGTGTAATTTGGGAGATCTGATGTTTTATGTGGTTGTGTGCCTGCTGGGTTTTGTTGATGAATGTTGTGTGAACTGATCAGGATTTTATTAGCTTGCGGGGTTTGATTTCTCTGTTTTGCAAGGTTTTTGTTATGAGGTTGTTTGTTAATATCATCTTGTGTTTTGATAATTGCTACTTTTCCAATTTCCATATTTGTACTCTCTTTTCATGGTTATCTCTTGTTATTAGATGTTCTCATGCTTGGCGGCAGCTCTTTCGATATTTGAAGTATTATAATTGGAGAAACTTTTAGTTATTTCATTTTTAAATAATACTAGTCTTAGAGAAAAAGCTTTCCTTGGAGTTCCTTTGGTAGATCTAGTTAATTTATCTGAACAAAAATACTTTGTTCGGGTGGTGTATGAGCTGTCGATGTTGCCCTATACTGAATTTCTCATGGATGCTTGTTGCGGTTTTATCATTAATTCATATCATTTTTCTGATAATTAGCTTGATGTAATACTTTATGAAGCTAAATTGTCTTTTTCAATTGTGGACATTTATTTTCTTCTGCTGATTTAGTAGCTAGTTTGCTGTCGTGAGTGTAGCAATTGTCTGGAAAGTTAATAAAATTACATGATGCTGCAGGAAACTGATGCTATGAGAAGCAAATTAGAGGCAGCTAGCAAGCGGAAGTCAATTCTTGCTGCTGAAGTTCGGTATGTAATATAATGTCGGACGTGCAAGATTTTGGTAGTAGTTCAGTCTTATTACAGTCTATTCATTAATAGTCATATACAATTGATGGCTTCTTAGTTAGAAATTGCTTAATTACTTCACCCTCATCATCTGCTGCTTGAGAAATTTCTTAATTTCGTTGGTTAGACCCTATTTGGAGTAATAACATGGTGCTATATTCATTTGTAACAATCAGTTGCGACTATGGAAAGTCTGAAAATGCGTGAGATGAGATGAAGTGAACACACAATTACATAAACTGTTGAGATACTGCCATTGGTTGCACATAAGTTGCTGCAATTTTAGTAGGTTTTATCCGTGACAATGGTGAGTGCTTACTAACACACAGGAAAAAGTGATTTTTATGTTGTAGCAATTAAAAGAAGAATCTTCATACGTTTTAGTGTTTGCTAGCTTTTGCTTCTCAGTTCTGCTTCATTTTACTAGAAAATGCTCCCAGGTTGGTTTATACACAAAATGAAGCATTTTCCAACTTAACTTCGATCGATTATTGAGCTTTAATAAGTGTTTGCAGACACTCTTTATATTATTCATGTGCGGTGGAGTTAGTTGTTGAATTTTGCTTTAGTGCTGCTGGTTTCATCATATTTTTTTATTACTCGGGATAAATTTTCATTGCAACTTAATGTGCCTGCCGTGCAGGTTTTTGCGTAAAAGATATAAGCACCTCGTGAAATCAAAGAACATGGATTCTTCACAAGAACAAGCACATGCACAGAAGATAAGTCCCCCAAAGAAAGCTAAAACCCCAAAGGAATCGGTTTTCATCAGAAAAGGAACAAGTCCAAGTCAGCATATATTAGCTTTAGTTCCTCAACTGATAAAGAAGAAACAATTTGTAGTTGAACCAGCTGTTCTGATTTCTAATTCGAACCAGAAAGACAAGAAGCGCATGAAGAAAGAAGCTGTGGCCCCAAACGCGGCCTTATTGTACGACAAAATCCAGAAGGAAAGAATCCTTTGTGCGAATGAGGTAGGTTTAAGGAATCCAATTGCCACTTTCGATTTGAATGAGGACAGTTGCCCTAACGGTAAAGAAGCTTCTTTTCCTAGCCGAGCTCCGATTTTCGACTTGAATGAAATCTCGGTAAGTACTTTAAATTTTTGTGCTGGCTTCATATGTCTGAAAAAAAAAAAAAAAACTNTGTTTTTTTTTTCATATATTTTTATAGACAGGGGATGAGGATTTTGGGACAAACGTTGAGGCAGTCGGGTTTGAAGAATCAAAGAAGAGTTTAATGAGAGGTTTAAACGACGAGCAGCAAAATGATATGAAGTTGGCTTTCTGTAGAAATTCTGGGGAAGGGTCGTCTCGTGTGGGGAAGAGGAAAATTTCGTGGCAAGACCCAGTTGCTTTGAGGGTTTGAAGCTTATTCAGTTTGTTTAGCTTCCTTTTTTTTCTTATATATATATAGGGACCAGTTTGAGTTTCATCTGCTATACACAATGTTATATTAGAAACTATTTTGTGGGGCTAGTGAAGAATGTTAGATAATTTTGTGGGACTTGTTTACTCATAAATTAGTTAGTAGCAGCTTTGGCCTATTCTGTGAAAATGGATCATTTTTTGGGTATCTGTGTGATAATTTATAGGAGTTCACTTAATATTGGGGTATACTTTGCAGGGATTTTGATAATTGCAAAAGACTCTCAAGTTTGGTATTGGTTCTAAGAGTAAATGTAATTTTTTATGTTTTTTATTATTCTGTGACTGTCAAGAGATTTTTGAAATGTTTTCTTATAAACAAACTACAATTTTAACCTGCATATCAAATAAATATTTCCACAGTTGACCATATAGATAAACTCCAATTTAACTGTAACTAGCAAATGATAATAAAAGATAGATCATCATTTTTTGAAACGATTTTATAGATGAACTCCAATTCAACTGGAACTGGCAAAGGAAAAATAGAAGGGAAATTTTTACTTATCCTATATGAAATTGAAAATTTTGTAAATTTACCATTCATAAATAAGTAATTGTGTTTCTACCTAATTGTCAAGAATAAATTACATTAATACCTAAAAATCAGTTACCCAACCTTGTTTAAATATGAGAGAGCCCAATATGGATTCGTTTATTGATTTTCTTAATAAATCATGATTAATTCCCAATCATCTAATAAGCCTCATGATCATCCCATTGAACATATCAACTTATGATAAATGTGAATTAATAATTTTTTTGGGGTTATACCCCCAATATATTGCAAATTTACAAAAACAATACATTATTTTGCATAAACAATTATTCAAACAAAAATTTTGAATTATTCCTTGCTCACCCCAACTTATTACGAGTTTGTCAAAATGAGAATTTAGCTAGCATAAACAATTGTTCAAACTAAAATATTGAAATAGGTTCTCGTCCAACCCAGCTTGCGAGCTGTTCAAAATTGAAATCAAAGACCTAAGTACCTGGGGACCTACTAACATCAAGTAGGACGACCTAAAGGGACCTACAAGTACACAACAAGACGACCTAAGAAAAGGGACCTACAAATACACAGCAGGACAACCTAAAGAAAGTGAACCACTAAGTCGACCTAAGACTATGAACGACCTAAGTAGCCAATGGGCGAAGAGCGAGTAAACGTGGAAGAAGGACGACCTGAGGAGTTGCGATCTATGAACATCAACCACAACGATATAAATGAAGGAGACCGAATGACTATGGAGACATGAGAAAATTGAGACCAATTTAGAATAAGAATTAAGGAATCTAATGAGGATAAGAAAAATATAATGATGATAAGGATGAACACTAAGCATATAAGATCAAAACCCGGACTGTCAGGTAAAAAGACCGTGGGCAACCGACAACTCGAATACCCAGGTATCCCTTATAAAAAGGAGATGAGGTACAACTGCAAACTCTCTACACTCTCTCTATAATTATAGAGTGCTCATCTTCTTCCCCTTTACTGACCTGATCGGAGTGCTCACGCCGAGAACGACTCCGACACTTATTTTACAAGTAGTCGACGACTCAGAGACGATAGGAGCTCTTCAGTAGCCGATTCAACTTACATCCAAGTCTCTAGCACATCAATATGTATCAAACCTTTTGAGAAGTAAGCTCGGACTTCTTAAATAATGTAGCATTAGTTAATTAAAATCTCAAATGACATGCATTTATATTTTGAAGACATGATCGTAAAATAAAAACATCCCCTTCTTCTTCTGCTTCATTTTTTTTTTCTCTAATTTCATATTGAAAATTAGACATCTCAATAACTTAATAAGCCAACTCATAGCCCTAGCCCCAACTAAAACTAAAAATAAAAACTTTTCATTGCAACTAATTAATTATTAATTTCATTATGTAGTTGCCATACATTGCATTCTCAGGGTCAATCACCACCTTCACTGTCTTCATCACCACCTTCTTTTTCATTTGACGGCGGCGGATGTACATTAGGGTCTCCGGAAGTTTCGCATTTTACCGAACACAAACAACTCCCGTGCACGCATTTTCCGGTGGTAAAAGCTTCGTCTTTGCACATTGTTCTGCAGTTATTGATGTGATTTCTGAAATAGCATGCCCCATGATACTGCTTACTCCTCGCATAGCAACTTCTTGCTTCACACTGTATCATAATTTTATCTGCATTCATATTATACATTAATANAAAGATACATACATGATACATGTTTCTTTTTTTTTTTTTCATTAATTAACAGGTAACACACATATTTGTATCTTGCAAGTGAATATATCACATATGTAATCAAAGAATGCTTACGGGTGAAGAGTAGTACGAATAGCAAAATTGTCCCATATAGTTTCTTCTCCATTGTTGAGACTTGGAAGCTTAGAGTGATGTTTTGAAATATGAATAAGACATCTATACTTTATAGGTTGAGCACGGGTTTAATTGAGATGTATCTCAAGTCATCTACAGCTTGGCACTTAATTAAATGCAAGCAAATTGAGATAATGATAGATGAATCACAATGATTCTAGTAGATAATTTTCTTTTTTCTTTTTCGGGGCATAATAAGTTGATAAGTACTATTGTAACCTTTAATTTAACTTTTGTTTTCCCCCTCTAATTTATTTTTATCTTGAATAGTTTAACTATATATTGTATTCTCTAATTCAACCTATGAAGACTTACAAATTGTATACAAAAACATATTTTTGGATCCAACAATATGATTCAGATAAATAAAAAATAAATGGTGTGCTTTGGATCACATTATAGATTTTTTGTACATAATAATGAGATTTATTATATTAGACTAGTACAATAACAGTGTACTACACGGGTATTTGTTAAGAGAATTATAATTAAAATTAAATAATAGTAACAACAAAAACTATTTTAGTTCTAAATATTTTTTGGAAAAATATATTATTATTTATATTTCAAATGACATCGTCACTTAAACGGCTTACTATCTTATATTATAATTTTTTTTTTAAAAAAAAATTATATCAGATAACTACTTTGTAGCTAAGTTAGTATAAATAATTTTATTTTTTCGAATTAATATTAACAGGTAATTTAATTTAATTATAAAGATAAATAAAAATATTTGTTTATTTCATATGTGTAATATAGATGTCAAATCGAAACTCATCAAGACATGATTAATTTGATATATAATTTTTTTAATTTGTTAATAAATAATAAATTTATTAACTTTTAAATATATTTATAATTGAATTTATTAAATTTGTTATAATTTCAAAAGAAAGATTGGAAGAAATTATATTTTATATCATGTCTACAATAGGAAATAGTATTAAAACATAATCAATTCTTTGAAAGGTACCATAAATATTCAATATATGTATGTATATTCCAAACCTAGTTACTTTTGAATTATAAATATAAATTAAAATTCATCCGAGCCAAGTAACAAAGCTTAGAAATTTGTATCTTTATATATAATTTTTTTTAAATGCTTATCGGTTCGGTTCGGTTTTAACCAAACTTTTTTGGTCCGGAACTGATTCTGAATCGAAATCAATTCGGTAACCGAATACAAGCGGTTCGGTTTATTTTCTTATCAGTTCAGTTCGGTACGATTCGATTTTCGATTTTGAGTAAAAAAAATACTAGCCCCTAAGAGCACTCACAATGCTTTGAGTCTCTTTTTGCATGTGTGGCAAATAAATAGACTTAAGTCTATAATGACATAGACAAACTCACGCTAAAAAAATCTAAAATCTATCTAATGTAAAAAAAATTATTAGGTATAAAATACATAACAACCAATAAAAATATAATAATAGTAAATGATTGCTATTGTAAGATTCACACTTGGGCCCAAAATAGATCGAAGGTGGACTTGGTCGCTTTTTTTTTATTTCCACATAAGCTAGATTAAGTCTACTTATAATTGCATTGTAAAATACTTTTCTATAAATTAAATCTATTTCATACTTTTCTATAAATTAGATCTATTTCCTACATGTAATTTTTGTTAAAAGAGACGCTCTAAGTAACTATGACCGCCTACCATGTTTGGCCGACCAATATAGGAAATCTTTAGGCACGCTCCATTTGATATTTTTTTTATTTTATATAATTAAATCGAACGCAGGACCCTTGTTTATTTTCCGCTTGTTCTTGTTTTTTCGCTTTCCTTTCTTATCGTGGGCTAGCTTGAAATTTCTCCAGGAACGAAATTGGAAAAATTATTCAGGTGAGGTTCATTTGTTGTGGATCGAGGTACGGCGCTGATGGATTTACCTGGTTCTTTCTCACTTTATGAAAAAAAGTGAATCTTTTTATATTGGTTAGTTGCGCATGATCTGTTCACGATCGAGGGATTTGGGGTTAGATTTCTGTTGATTGGCTGGTATGTTGTTGTGGGGATCGATTTAATTCGCATTTGCAGCTTTAATTTTGTTTTTTCGATTTGAATTTGGTGTATTTTTTCATTTAAAAGAGAATTTTTGGTTCTATCTGTAATCGTGGATCCTAGTGAAATAGCTGTGAACGTTCTTTTTCCATTGGGATCGTCAATCGTGTGTTTATGTGTTTGTTGACCCGAATTGAAAACGAAAGAAACTTACGTTGTCCACTATGATTTATCTTTGACGATCATGAGAAATCCTAACCTTGTATTTGGTTTTGATCCTTTCCATCTGCAGTTATGAGATGCTTTATTTGTGTTTCTAATCAGATCTTGACCTCGATTCATGCCTATTTCCTGTAATGGGGTCTGATGAAAACATCCATATTTCTTTTCTGTAAATTTTTCACAGTAGTTATAACCCACTCAAGTTCCCAAGATGTTGGAGCAACTACTCATCTTCACAAGAGGAGGCCTAATCCTCTGGACGTGCAAGGAGCTCGGCAATGCACTCAGGGGCTCACCCATCGACACCCTCATTCGCTCTTGCCTTCTCGAGGAGCGTTCTGGCGCAGCCTCATACAACTATGATGCTCCTGGTGCTTCGTACACCCTCAAGTGGACCTTCCACAATGAGCTAGGCCTCGTGTTTGTTGCCGTGTACCAGCGGATCCTCCACCTCCTCTACGTGGATGACCTTCTTGCTATGGTGAAAAAAGAATTTTCCGAGATTTACGACCCCAAACGAACCTCGTACCCCGATTTTGACGATATTTTCCAGCAGCTGAAGAAGGAAGCCGAGGCCCGTGCAGAGGATATGAAGAAGTCTAAACAAGTGGTCAAGCCCTCGAACAACAATAATCTTGGAAAAAAACAGGCACGGGTGGCAAACGGCATGTTCGATGGAGGCAATCAAAAAAAGAGCGGGAATGAGTCCGGTAAAGATGGTGATGATGCTCCGTTAGAAAATGGTAGCCTTAGGAAGAATATTAGTAACAAAGTGATTAGCTCAAAGGGGAAGGAGAATGGTGCCTCGAACAACGGGGCTTTTGATGTGAGCAAACTGCAGAAGCTGAGGTCGAAAGGCGGGAAGAAGACGGAGGCCGCAGTTGGGAAGGCCTCTAAGGTGGTGGAGCCGAAGAAGGTGACGAAAAAAAATAGGGTTTGGGATGATTCGCCTAAGGAGACGAAGCTTGATTATACAGATGGGGCTGGTGAGGATGTGGAGCAGAACTTGTCGAGTGTGGTGGAAAATGTTGGGGAGAGTATGATGGATAAAGAGGATATTGTTAGCAGTGATAGCGAGTCTGAGTCTGAGGAGGAGGAGATGGGAAAGGATGGTGGGTCGGATGGGAAGAAGAAGAAAGGGTGGTTTTCGTCAATGTTCCAGAGGTATATTTGCTGTCATGCACCTCAAGTGTGTGTGAAAAAAATTATTGTTCATTCTTGTTATGATTTATTCATGCTTTAAAACCTATATGTGAGTATAGAACTGTTAGTCGTTAACTGTGTGTACTTACTTTATGAAATTAAGTATGAGGTGGGAAGTGGAAAGAGAAATGCCCCTTTCTCTCTTATTTTTAGCAACTGATGTGCTTTTATTTGATAAGTGTTGATTTTCTCCCTGGTCTTTTTAATTGCTTACAGTCTTCATGAATTACTATAAGTGTGCCTGTGGAGATGGGGAAACATTTACTCTTCAGCATTAACGTTTGTGTTGTTTAATCTGTCGGTTCTTAATATGTGAAGATGTAATATCTTTTGCATACAAATGAATTTTTATATTTGCAGTTTGGTCTGTTTTGACGTAATTTTTATATTTGCAGTATTGCTGGGAAAGCAAACTTGGAGAAATCTGACCTAGAACCAGCTCTCAAAGCTCTCAAGGACAGGCTCATGACCAAGAATGTGGTATGTTGTTCACCATTTTATCTACCAGTTCATCCCCTTAAATTTTACAATAGTAATTGGAAACTGGCTTTTACTAATATCTACACTAAGTCATTCTTAGTTCGATATTAATACTTCTGGCCCTGTTTTTCTGAATTGGTTTTTGTTGAGCAGGCAGAAGAAATAGCTGAAAAACTTTGTGATTCAGTAGCTGCAAGTCTTGAGGGCAAGAAGCTAGCCTCTTTTACCAGAATTTCTTCAACTGTTCAGGTACGCAAGCGTTGCTTTAACAATTTAGGAAATTCCAATTGCAATTAAGTAAATGCATACTCAATATTTAAAAACAAAAAAAAAAAATCTATGATGCCACTTTTCCGGTTTTTACCGAGTGTTGCTCGAATTGATTTCTTATCAGGCTGCCATGGAAGATGCCCTTGTTCGTATCTTAACTCCAAGGCGCTCCATTGACATTCTTAGAGACGTACATGCTGCCAAGGAGCAAGGAAAACCCTACGTCGTGGTTTTTGTTGGAGTTAATGGAGTTGGTAAATCCACCAATCTTGCTAAGGTTAGTTCCAATTAGCAATATTCTGAAATTTGATTATATCTTCTTTGTTAAGTTGCATGTATTTAATATTTATCTTGTAATGCCTCTACAGGTTGCTTACTGGCTTCTGCAACACAATATCAATGTCATGATGGCTGCTTGCGACACGTTCAGATCAGGTGCAGTCGAGCAGCTGCGTACTCATGCACGAAGGCTCCAGGTAGAGTTCTTCACTCCAGATATTGAAAACCCGGCTGATTAATTTACATCTAACTTTGATGATAAATGGTATTTCCAATCAGATCCCGATATTCGAGAAGGGTTATGAGAAAGATCCGGCAGTTGTGGCAAAAGAGGCCATCCAAGAGGCCGCTCGAAATGGATCGGATGTTGTTCTGGTCGATACAGCTGGAAGAATGCAGGTAATTTGATCTGAGAATGTATGTTATGAAATGAGAAGATGTGTTTTTGATGGAATTCATTATTACATGCCCTACATTTTAGTGATGTGTATTATATTGTTTTAGGATAATGACCCATTGATGCGAGCTCTGTCGAAGCTTATATATGTAAACAACCCGGACCTGGTTTTGTTTGTGGGTGAGGCACTCGTGGGGAATGATGCTGTGGATCAATTGTCCAAGTTTAATCAGGTCAATCAGAAACGTTCATCTTTCCATTTTACGTTTAGTGTGACCAATTTTTTTTTCTTTTTTTTTTCACTTTTATTNCTTTTCTTGAATATGTTGCAGAAATTAGGCGACCTATCTCCCTCTCCCAATCCTAGGTTGATTGATGGAATCCTCTTGACCAAATTCGATACTATTGATGACAAGGTAAAAAATGAACACCTTGTAAAGCTCTTCTTAGCTTCTACATCTATTTACATTGTGTTTGGTAAGCATATAAAGTAACTTGTAGCTTATAAGCTTCTTGTATTTAAATAAGTTTGGTTTGGTAAGATGAACGTTTTTAAAAAAAACTGAGCTTATCTCATAAGCTTCCTTGGATAGCTTTTTAAATAAGCTCATTGAAATTTTTATTTCAGGTAAGCTAATTTTACCAAAGACTTTTATCATATAAGCTAGCTTTTCAGCCATAAGTCGTAATCTTTCAGCTATAAGCTCGAAATTCACTTAAAAGCTATAAGCTAGTTTATCAGCTAAGTTCCCCAAACATAGCCTTAGTCGGTATTTCTGCTAAGTACATGGTTAATGGTTTTTAGGTGGGAGCTGCATTGTCAATGGTATACATATCGGGAGCTCCTGTAATGTTTGTTGGGTGCGGGCAGTCTTATACCGACTTGAAGAAGCTTAACGTCAAGTCTATAGTGAAGACTCTCCTCAAATAAGAAAGATCATTTTTCGTCTTAGACCTTTGTGTGAAATTCTGAATGTTGTTCGTTGGTTTGTGACTGATCTGTGTGTGAACTGTGAACTTGAACTGTGAACTTCCCCATCTGTTATCTTTGCTACTTTGCTGAATAAAAGTGAATGGTGTGTTCAACTTTTGTGTGTGTTGTCTATTGTCATTTCTTTAAGGAAATATGTTTATATTTGGCTATTCTTTATGAACCTCCTAAAATCTTACCATTATAATACATGTCGAAATGTTTGTTTACTAGCTCTTTTATTGGAGTATCATAATTTTAGTAGTAGTAAATATATTGCATTTTACTGCATATGTTTTGTGAGACAATGAATGAAAAATATTGGTGTGTTTATGCTTGCGTGTTTACATTTGTATAGAATTAAATATTATATTGTAGTTTTAATTGCAAAAAATGTTATTTGTAATCATATCCAATCACACCCTTAGTCACTACCCACTAGCATTACATATGAACTGCTGACTGGGAATTAGTTGACCTCGTGGATGGACAAAACAAGGTCTATCCAAAAGTATTTATTTGGAAGCACACTGTAGCAAAGATAATAACAAACGAATTCTTCCATAAAAATAAAATTACTACACCTAAATCTAATGGTTAGACAACCTTAAGCATATTTGAAGCAGTTCATAGCATAAAATAACTACATAGCAATAAAGCTCTGATTACATGAAAACACATGAAACTGGAGCAACAATGTTATGTTTGGTTGAATATTGAGCACAACATTCATATGATATAATATAACAGCCCTCATGAAAACGCAAGCTCGCATTCGTTTGAACCTCGTTTAAACAATGCAATTTTCTGAAGCGCATTAAATTTCGTTGTCGAGTCTAAATCAATCCCCTCGTCCGAGGTGTGTATTTCCATCCTTTTCAACACTTTGGCATTCTTTAGAAAATACCTCGCCATGCTAAACTCGGGCTCCCTACACTTGAATTCATCAATTCTTACCATTGCTAGACGAGTCATGAATGTGGTTTTGATTTATGGAAATTAATGGGCCCTTGAAAAGTCCTTCTCTTACAAAATGCGAGTTTGTAGGGCGACCCACGTAGCATACATTCTCACGAGGTGTAATAGATGTCGGTGAATTTAAGTTAATATTGTTTTGAGGATCTCAATATTGACAGTTAAATTCAAAAGTGTTTAATCTGTAAAATTTATTTGCATGATTCTCAGGATATTCATCATGTCGTTCAATCCGTTGTCTGTCATTCTAAAAGAAAATCAGCTTACTGGTCCTAATTACATTGATTGGAAGAGGAACTTAGACATAGTGTTGACTGCTGAGGGTTATAAGTTTGCTATCACTGATGCTTGCCCGGCGGTGCCGGCGGCTGATGCTCCTGAGCAGGAGAAAGAGGAGTATGCTCGGTGGAAGAAGGCTGATGAGATGGCGAAGTGTTACATTCTGGCTTCTATGTCGAATGTTCTTCAACATCAGCATCAGTCTAAGGACACTGCAGCAGATATACTTCTCAATCTCAGGGATCTGTTCGGACATCAGTCTAGGGCTGCTAGGCAAGAGGCTTTGAGTGCTCTGATGAGTACGCGCATGGCCGAGGGCACACCCGTAAGGGAGCACGCTCTCAGGGTTATGGCGCAGCTCAATGAGCTTGAGGTTATGGGAGGTTATATTGACGGGGAAACCCAGGTTGATATTATGCTCCAATCTCTGCCGAAGAGCTTTGATCAGTTCCGGTTGAACTACAACATGCACAAGATGCATATGGCTCTTCCAGAACTGCTTGCAGAGCTTCAGTCGGCGGAGGCCTTATTCACTCAAGCACCTCAGGTGCTAGTCGCCGAGCAGGCTGGACCTTCCAGGCCTCACAAGGGCAGGAAGAGAAAGAAGTCTGCAGGAAAGGCGAAGGCACAGGATGCTCCGGTTTACCCACGACCGACCCCTCAGGCTGTGGCAAAGAAACCGAAAGGAAGATGCCACAAGTGCAATAAGTCAGGACACTGGAAGGTCGATTGCCCTCTCCTCAAGAAAGGTAACTCTCTCGTTAATGTCGTAGAAACATGTTTAGCGGTTGTATCTACCAGAACCTGGTGTGTAGATACTGGAGCCACTGATCATGTCTGCAATTCTTTGCAGGGGTTCCAGGAAACCAAGCGACTTAGGGAGGGAGAGATCACCGTCTACATGGGCAATGCTACGAAAGTGGCGGCTGTTGCAGTGGGAGACGTTACTTTATCGTTCGATAGTAGTAGTTTGGTTTTGAGAAATTGCCTTTATGTTCCTAGTTTTAGAAAGAACCTTGTTTCAGTTTCTAAACTCGTTATGGATGGTTTTTCAGTTTCGTTTGATGACATGGTTATTATTCGTTTTGAAAATCGTTTCATATGTTGTGGTTCATTAGTTGGCAATTTATATGTTCTCAAACCGAACTCTCCCACAGTGCAACATAATGAATTGAATAATGTCATAACTACATCTAATAAGAGGAAGGAGTCTTCGCAGATGAATCAAGCATATCTGTGGCACCTTAGACTTGGACACATCAACCTTAGGAGGATTCAAAAGTTAGTGGCCAGTGGACATCTCGGTCCATTGGAAGAGCACTATCCAACTTGCGAATCATGCCTAGAAGGTAAGATGGCCAAGAGGCCGTTTACGGCAAAGGGGTATAGGAGCCAAGAAGTGCTAGGATTGATTCATTCTGATTTGTGTGGTCCTATGTCGATCCAGGCTAGAGGAGGTTTCGAGTACTATGTGTCTTTCATAGATGATTACTCGAGATTTGGGTACGTTTATCTGTTGCACCGCAAGTCCGAATGCTTTGAGAAATTCAAGGAGTATCGGGCAGTTGTGGAGAAGCTTCATGGTAAATGTATCAAGTCACTTCGTTCTGATCGAGGTGGCGAATACCTTTTTGGAGAGTTCAGGACATACTTATCGGAAGCTGGGATTGAATCCCAACTGACTGCACCCGGCACGCCCCAGCAGAATGGGGTTGCAGAGCGAAGAAATAGGACTCTTATGGAGATGGTTAGGTCTATGATGAGTTATTCGAGGTTACCAGATTCGTTCTGGGGTTTGGCATTGGAAACGGCATCGTATATTCTGAACATGGTTCCGTCGAAGTCAGTTGACACTACCCCTTATGAGATGTGGAAAGGGCGCAAGCCCAGTTTCTCACAGTTTCGAGTTTGGGGTAGTCCTGCACACGTGTTAGTGCAGGAACCTGGCAAGTTGGAGAAACGTTCGGAAGCACGAGTTTTCGTAGGCTATCCCAAGGGAACGAAAGGTGGATTATTTTATAGTCCCGAGGATCAGAAGGTGATCGTTTCGACGAACGCTAGATTCTTGGAAGAAGACTATATTATGAATCATAAGCCCGCGAGTAGACTAGTCTTAGAGGAGTTAAGGGGTGAAATCGATGGTTCCCCACCGAGTGCGCAAGTAGATACATCACATAATACTGCAACACGACACACTGAGAGTGTACCAGTGCAGACAGTGCCTCGTCGCAGTGGGAGGGTTTCTCATTTACCCGACCGATGGATAGGTCTTGGAGAGTCGTCAGACTCAGTTCCAGGAGGCCTAGAATCGGACCCAAGAACTTACGATGAGGCACTCCAAGATAAAGATGCAGATTCATGGAATGTTGCAATGAAAGCTGAAATGGGGTCAATGGACTCCAATCAGGTCTGGGATCTTGTAGAACTACCCGATGGGGTACGACCCATTGGATGTAAGTGGATCTATAAGAGAAAGAGAGGATTGGATGGGAAGGTGCAAACCTTTAAAGCTAGGCTTGTTGCGAAAGGTTATACCCAGATCGAGGGTATTGATTATGATGAGACCTTTTCGCCAGTAGCTATGCTTAAGTCCATTCGGATTCTCTTGGCTGTAGCCGCTCATATGGACTATGAGGTCTGGCAGATGGATGTCAAGACAGCTTTCCTTAATGGGAACCTGCAAGAAGACATCTATATGCAGCAACCAGAGGGATTCATTGCTGAAGGTCGTGAGCATCTAGTGTGTAAGCTTAATCGGTCTATTTATGGACTGAAGCAAGCTTCGAGATCTTGGAACATCCGTTTTGATGAGGTGATCCAGTCGTACGGGTTCACTCAATGTCCGGATGAGCATTGTGTTTACAAGAAAATCAGTGGGAGCGTGGTGGTGTTTCTTGTGCTTTACGTAGATGACATACTGCTTATTGGAAACAGTAAGAAGGAGTTATCAGACGTAAAGGTGTGGTTGTCTAAGCAGTTTGATATGAAGGACTTAGGTGAAGCAGGACACATTCTTGGTATTAGGCTCATTAGAGATCGTAAGAAGAGAATGTTGTGCTTATCCCAGTCTTCATACATAGATACTGTCTTGGCCAGATTTAGCATGCAGGATTCCAAGAAAGGTATGTTACCTTTTAGACATGGAATACCTTTATCTAAGGAGATGTCTCCTAAGACGTCTAAGGAGATAGAGGAGATGAAGACAGTTCCTTATGCTTCGGCAGTAGGAAGTCTCATGTATGCAATGCTATGCACAAGGCCGGATATTAGCTACGCCGTTGGCATGGTAGCTAGATATCAAAGTAATCCAGGACGGGAACATTGGTCTGCGGTGAAGCATATACTCAAGTACCTGAGAAGGACTAAGGAGTACATGTTAGTTTACCGTGCAGACAGCTTGTTACCTCTGGGTTACAGTGATTCTGATTTCCAGTCAGATAGGGATGAAAGTAAGTCAACCTCAGGTTATGTGTTTACCTTGGGAAGTGGAGCCATTTCATGGAGGAGTGCTAAGCAGAAATGCGTGGCAGACTCCACCATGGAAGCCGAGTACATAGCAGCCTCAGAGGCAGCGAAAGAGGCAGTTTGGCTCAGGAACTTCTTAGTGGACTTAGAGGTTATACCGAGTTTGCCACGTGGTATCACCGTGTACTGTGATAACAGTGGAGCAGTAGCGAACTCAAAAGAACCTCGAGCCCACAGGGCAAGCAAACACATAGAGCGCAAATACCATCTGATTCGGGATATCGTTGGTAGAGGAGACGTTGATGTTGCCAAGATTGCATCAGAGGATGCATGGCGATAGGATCGACATAGGTCTTTTAGAATAACGGATTGATAGGACTATACTGTAAAAGCGAAAGCTTTAAGTATAAGTGGGAGATTGTTAGTGTTATATACTGAAAGCTTGGCTTTGCATGTTATTACACATTTACCCTTTATGAATGAGAATCATGTTAGATTAAACAAGTTCTACGTTCTGTTGTTCTGCACTTAGATAGGGTGGGTCGTCATCGGGCGAACCGAAGATCACTCTGTCAGTCACTTGCGAACAAGAATAGTTGTTCACAACCTAGATGGACATGAACACCCCATCCGAACGGTTGTAGTGTCAACTGTACAGTTTGTCTTGACTGATTAGTTGCACTAGTACATTTATGTATTGAACAGGATCCCAGAGAGGAGAAGTTCATTTTATACTGATCGTCGTAAATGAACTAGGCCTCGGTTAATTACTGCGTTCTCTTAACCCGTAAGATATTAAACAGGCAGATATATATAATATATATTACTTTGATTCACATGGGTGAGGTTCAGTTCGCTGGATTAATATTCCTACTGTTTTGGGTAATATTATTATATATAGGATGTGCTGTTAGGATATTTACGGTCACCATGTGCGTTAGTTTGATGATGTCCCCGGAGTGAGTTCATGAAGGATTGTTATGCTAAACCCTGCAGGTGGATTAAATTCCGGCATAATAAGAATGTGATGAACGAGCGCTAGCTTCGGTGAAATAATAATAAATTAATTAATTCTTGATTGTCAGTAATCGAATTAATTAATGGACATTATATCTTAAACGTGGGGAGGTAAATCGAGTAATTATTATTGGAGTCTCAAATGTAATTTGGGCTAGGGAAAGGGAGTGCAATAATATAATGTTGGTGGCCCATTAATATTATTTAATTAATTAGAGGAGTGGGTTTGGCCCACAGTTAGTCTAATTAATTAAGGAGCCCTTTTCCTAATCTCCTTAGGGTCCCTACTGTAGCTCTATATATACATCATTAAGCTCATGAGAAGAGAATAGAAGTCTCATTCTCACGTGAAACCATCTCTCTCTCTAGATCTCATTCGAGCTTTATCTTCTTCTTGTTGCTCCACTGGTACAAGTTGAAGAAGGGTGTATTGAGTAATACAGTAGAAGATCTGTAGGTAAACCGAGACGAAATTGATTTTGACCTACAGAACTAACCGGAAGTCCGATTGAGACGTACAGTATACCCAGACGACCGTCTCGACGAGAGCTTTCCATCGCCGCCGACGTCGCCGGAATCCGACGCCGCACGCGCCCTCACGCGCCGCCGGAAGGAGTCTGGCAGCAAAATTTCGTTTTGATCTGTTTGCATCCGTTTGATCCAGTTTTGATCTGATCTTGTTCGTGCAACCCAAGACGCGTGTTGCGGTCAATCAATTGCGGTCAACCGTTCGTGGTCAACCAGATCTACATAAATTTTAAGCCGTAAGTTCTCTACGTCAAACCTTTAGATCCGCTGCGCATAGGTTTACGTTTGCTATTGAATTCGTGATTTGTACATAACGAGATCCTCACAGATCCCAACAGCATGCTATCATGGACTCGGATGATCCAGAAGAGTTTGAGTCCCGTTGGTCAAAGTTGATGAGTACTACATCTTTGAGTCAAAATAAATGGGTGAATGATATGTACACTATTCGAGCCATGTGGATCCCTGCATATTTGAAAAATATATTCTCAGCAGGAATGTCATCCTCACAACGTGCTGAAAGCAATCACTCTTTTTTTAAGAAATATTTGAGCCGTGACTGCTCCCTCAATGATGTGTTTACGCGGTTTAGGAATGCAATTTCGAGGCAAAGGCACAAAACGTTATTACTAGACCATGCCGACAAAAATGAGAAACCGTCATTGAATTCTACACAACCAATGGAGCGGCAGTTGTCGACAAGGTATACGAGGACAATATTTAAAAAGTTTCAAGAACAATTGAAGGTTTTACCAGAGTACATCAGTAAACTCGTTGAAAAAAATGAGGTAGTTTGTGTCCATGAAGTGTTCCCATTTAGTGGATCGGAGATGAAGGATAAAACTTATCGGGTGACACAAAATATTTCCACGAACTTTCTTTCATGTAGTTGCCAGAAATTTAATGATATGGGGATTCCATGTAGGCACATGCTATATATGATGCAGGTAATTTTTTTTGTTATTTTATGGTATGTAATGATTTACAACATAATTATATATACATCTCATTTTATTTAATGTTGTTTTTTTAAAGGTTATGCAAATCAAGTTGTTGCCAGAAGAATATATCTTGTCTCGTTGGACACAAGAGGTAGGATCACCAATTTCATTTCAAACAGTCGCTTCTCCTATCATCCAAGCACGAGGATATATAGAGCGTAGCCGAGGGTTATCTGAGAAGTGGAAATGGTTGATCGAAAAGGCTGCATTGACCGAAAAATCTACTATAATTTTACACAAAATGTTTGAAGAAGCGGAATCAAAAATACAAGAGAATGAAGTTGTGACCCCCAGTGATACACAAGAGTCATGCTCGGGAAAAGGGCACAAAGGTGAGGGTTTTGTAAGTGATCCAACTACTAATCGTGTAGCTCGTGGCCGCAAACGACTATTAAGTATGCGAGATAAGGCAATTAAAAGTGGAGGCAAGCATTGTCGCAATTGTGGCAAAGTTGGTCATAACGCACGTACATGTCCTGAAATTAAAGGCAAAGACAGGTAACTTAAATGTTCTCATCGTGTGACTGATTGCTCAAGCATCATTCAGTTGTGTAACTTTTTTTTTTTCTAGTTTTTATATTACTTTTGCTTATTTTCCAATTTTTCAATTTTTTTTTTCTCTTCTCTGTTGATTTCGTTCCAGATAATTATTTATTATAATAAATGATGAATGTTGATACTGAGAAGAAACAACTGAAAATAATTCTTATCGTACAGCATTAATGCAAAATGCTGGAAATTAAAAAATTATGAAATTAGTTTTATAAGGAGAGAAGTGTATCTGAGGAGCTTGATTTATTCAGCCAAACATTCATCGTTTTTAACCTTTAATTATTATTTTTATTCTCTTATCACATTTTATAAATTTTGTAGAATTGCTGATGAAGTTGAACCATATCGTCCGTCACCTTTATCGAATAATATCATAGTCGAGGACAGTCAAGAAATGACGGGTCGGGATATGGTCGACACTGTGGATGAGGGATATGATTACACGAGTATTTGGCCTTAACGGAGTTTTTTTCCAGATGCAGTTTGATATTTTTTTTTATTTTTTATTTTTATTTTTTTTGTTGAAAGTGGCTTTCTTATGTTAGTTTTGACTAATAGTTTTGAAAGTGGCTTTAATGGAGTTTTGGTATTGTTTGGATAACTTTTTTTCCTTGAAAGTTAACACAGAGAAGTACTTGCTGTTATTTTGTTCATTGCTTTATTAGTGTTCTGTTCATTTTGTTCATTGTTTTTATTACTGGTATTGTTTGGCATTTTGTGGGGATCTGGCCAAACAGAATATTTTGTTGTTGGATGCATATTTTCTTTGGCTCTATTGGTATTTTGTACCTCAAATATCATTGTTGATATGTAAAATATATTGAGCAGATGTTTGCAATTCAAATTTGTGTACACTTTTATTACTCAGTCACAAGAATTTATCTGTCATTTGAACTTTTGACAGTAAGATATGTAAAATATATTGAGCAGATGTTTGCAATTCAAATTTGTGCACTTTTATTACTCAGTCACTAGAATTTATATGTCATTTGATCTTTTGACAGTAAGTTCCTCCAAAAAATATATGAAGATGTAAACTAATTCCTTACACGAAAGAACAAAAGAAGTAATCTAATGTTTTTGAACTAATTCCATGTTGAGCCATAAAGAAAAAATATGACAAATACTGTGCATAAATATTTGTCTAAAATGAACAATGAAGTTTTCAAGCCATCAGAAATCGACAGTGGTCTAAAAAACGATTCCATTTCAAGCCGTGAAACACCCACATCTCAACTTCATCCCATTGCACAAGAAAATATTGTTGCAATTCATATAACTAATCCTCGACGAGTATAAGAAAGTGTACAAACGAAACACCCACATCTCAACTTCATCCCATTGCACAAAAAAATACCGTTGCAATTCATATAACTAATCATGTACGAATATAAGAAAGTTTACAAACGAAACACCCACATCTCAACTTCTTCTGATGTTACTGTTGTAGACCAGGCCTGGGTCGAGGGAGGATATGGAGTTAATGTGCCCTGCTCCAGGATCGAATGGTGTGGACTTTTTGCCCGTGGATACGTCTATCATGGGGTGGCCTCTCCCGTCTGTTGTGTAGGCGGTGGTCGAGTGCCGATTGGATGGCCGCAGGACTCCAAGCCTTGAGCAGCGCCGTCAGTCCGCTGACATGGGGGCACGATATCCATGTCCCTGTTTGTATGTTGAAATCAGCCCTGCGTGTGTCGATGCTCGTGGGGCACGACATGGATGGCCGCTGACTATGCGGCTAGAATGTTCAAACGAGTCACCAACGACACGTCACTGCCGTCGTCCACCCCTTCCACAACCTCCGCTGCCCCATTGACGCCTTCGCATCCCTCGACCAGCTCCGCCTCCTTGACCTCCGTGACAACCACCTCAATGACACCCTCTCCCCCCTCGCCCGCTGCACCTCAAGCTCGTCTACCTCTCCGGCAATGCCTTTTCCGTCCAGATCTCGCCGGAAATCTCCGCCTTTCACCGCCTCGACATATCCACCAACAACCTCCGCGGCCCCATCCCGCCGCCGCTCGCCGATCTCACCCGCCTCATCACCCTCCACCTCCAGACCAATGAATCGAGAAGCTTCACCAGCAACCAAGCCCCAATTGCTCGAACTCCCGCGGAAAACCATCCATGAAGGTGTCGTCCATCCCGAGCTCCCTCCTCCCGTCCCAGATCGCAGCTGCGGCCATCAATTTGCCGGAAATTCACTGCAGAAAGCTCGGCAGGCGGCCCGATTTTGGCCATACCGGTGGCGTCGGCGACTTAGGTCGTGAGGTTGATGATTGAGGTAGTGAGATTGCAGGTGAATTTGGGGAAACGGCGACTTATGAAGTGATTATCGGGAAAAATGGTTTATTAATTAATTTTGTTATGAAAAATCTTTAAAAAAGCCACATATTTTATGCCATGTTGGATTAAATAAATTTAATAAATAAAGCCACATCATGTTGCCACATCATATTGTGGCATGGCTTATGGTGCCCATATGGGCACCATAGAATTTCTGGTATCATACATTAAAAAGTAGTTAATATATGGATTTTACAGCAGATGTTTTGTGAGAGAATAAATAAAATGTTGGTATGTTTACGCGTGCGTGTTTACATTATCTATATATATATAAAAAGAATTAATATTTATAAAAAATAGCAGCAAAAAAGTCAATGAGCATTTAATGCATATTTTATTTGGAAACTTTTTAAATATATGTATTAATTGTTTTAATATACACATTTCCAAATCAAATATGACAAAAAAGATTCTTTCCTTGAATAATTTTATTAACATATGCAATAATTTTATTGATATCCATTATAATAAACTATAATTTAATTTTTCGTGATTGATGTTGATAATATTTTGGTCAACATAAACATGAAAACAACTTTTAAGTCTTAACTATATTATTATTTTTTTTTTCACAAATGTTGACTTTCATCCTAAAATATTTATAAACAATGGTAACATGTTAAATAATTCTCCATCTAACCAAGCCGAAATCAAGTTGGTGAATTAATATTTTTCGATAATATTTTTTAACCTTTATTTAATTATATAAACATATAATTTACCATTTAAGAGATAATGATCACATCATTAAATAATTTATTAATGGCTAAATAATAAAATTAAAATATATTAACTATTCTTTACATTTTCAACATTTGATTTATTTGTATATTATTGTCGACCATGATAATTTTATCATTTTTTTTTTATTTTTATTTGTTTGCATAATGAATTTATTGTAAAATATATATTTATATTGCATAGTATGTTAAATAAACTAATAAAGCCTTAGGATGCAAATTAGAAAAATCTCTTGATTATGTAAGGTTTATTATTTGACAATTTGCTAAATCAATTTTTTTTAATTATTATGAGAAAATTAAATTCTAAAAAACATGTGTGTGTATTTTGTAAACATTTATAGAATTTTTTTTATTTTAAACTCATTACATAAACTAAGAAGAAGAAGACTACTTCTATAACCTTTATAAATAATAATAATGAAATTATATGACAACAAATATTATAATAAAATAATAATTGACTATTAAATAAATGGTGAACAAGAATAAACATAAATTTTATTTTATTTTTCTTATATCGATGGATATATATATGTTGCAGAATCAAATTTATATCAATATAACGTGTTAGCAGAATGATATATTAATAGCATGTCAACGTTATGACTAAAATAAATATCACTGATTGAAAGAAATGGAAAATTAGTGATCCAACCCTATTATTTTTTGCCAAAATCGTACAAATCATATAGATGACTCAATTAATATATGTGACCCGTGCATCGCACGGGCTATGCACTAGTATAGAATTAAATACTTTAATAAGAATGTTAATTGTGATCATACCTTTTCTATAATACGCGTGCCAAATAATGACCAAATTTATATCAAAATTGTTGATAATTACTAAATTCCACAAACATACATTAGTTACTTTTTCATCTGTGTATATCTATATATATATATATATATATATATAAAGAGTCATCCTATTTACTAAATTTAATAACAAGAAAAGTCAAAAGACAATTAATGCATTCTATTTTTATCATTTTTTTTAAAATTTATTATTATTTTATTGCCAAAAATTCGGTCACCATAAAATCTTTACATGAATCGGTCAGCCAAAAAAATCAGATTTTCAATCCTATATTTATGGGTTTTTTTGTGGATTTTTTTTATTATCTTCTCTTTGCTTCTCTACATTTTTCTCTTCTTTTTTTCTAATTTTCCATCTTCTCAAATTCGCAACACAAAACAATCTCTTTTCTTCCTCTCAAATTCTCCTCCTCCCCAATTTCTTATTCCTTTCTAACCTTATAGACTTTGTACAGAAATCAACATAAGGAAATAAAAAAGCATGATAAAAAATTTAAATTCCTTTACTTGTAGAATTTTTCTGTCTTCACTCGAAGCTGCGTACGTTTATGTGTAGCAATAGGTTTACTTATTAGGTTGAATGTTTTTTTTAAATGAGTTATTTCCATAACTTCTTAATTAATTTAAAATAAACATAATTCTAAAGGATACATTAATTATAATTTTTTTGAGTTTATAAAATAAACTGATAATTATTATTATTTTAAAAATATATTATATGAATAGGTTCAATTATTTGAGTCAATTTATTTTTTAAATACTTTAATATTATTTGTTTAGTTATGTTATAATTTTTATAAATAATAATAAAACTTTCAATTGATCCCTTTTTGTTGGTATTTTCCCTTATGTTATACAATCTTCTTTATGTATTTTGATTAATTGGAACATGTTATTTCTCATTTTTAAAATATTTATAATTATTTATTTGACTAAATACTAATTTCATAATATTTATAATTAAACATGATTAATTATAAATAATAATAATATAGTATAAAATATGATTGAAGCCTTTCTTTTATTTAATAGCAAGAGACGAATAATAGATTATAACCCTATTGTTTTCTAGACTTAACGTTCATTAAAAGAGAGGTGGAAAATAGATGATAATCTTATTACTTTTTAGACTTAAACGGACCGAGTCTGTGAAAATAACTCATTTAATATTTTTGTCCCGTGCATCGTACGGGGTATGTACTAGTTCTATAAAAACAAAATAGTTTTCGATTCATGTTCTAAACTATTTTTTAATCAAATATTCTTAAATCATATATTAATACATTAGATTACTAATAATTATTCTATTTCTTTTGAAACTTTAATTATTTTATCAATATCTTATATATTTTGATTATTATGTTTGTATTTTTAAAAATTTCTTATGCTACATAAATATGGAAGAATAGCCTACGGATAATTAGAAATAGTAATTGCAACAAAAAAGACATACTATTAACTGTCGGTTTAATTATCAAGGAGAGGAATAATAATGGCCATTCAAGAGAATCAAGACTCAATAGTCTTTTAATTATGGCTAATTTCCAATGTCACTCGGTCAAATTTCTTTGAACAAATATTTTCTTCCACCATTAAAACTACAAAGCAATAATTCTCTTCCTTTTTTCATCTTCGGTAATGATATAACGACTTGAAACGGCTCAACTTTTTCCAATTGCAATGAGCAATAGTAATTATTTGCCACTAAATGAAACCGTTATAAAGAGCCCAAAGTTATGATTTATAGATATATACATTTTTCAAACTATAAACTTTAAAAAGATAATATAAATAAAAGTATATTATTTCATAATACAATACATTTATTTGTTGAAAATATATTTATAAATTGATACATATATTTTCAAACTTGAATGCAATATTATAAGAAAAAACACAAATAAAATTATGATATCATAGCACAATACATATTTTGTCGAAAAAATATACAGTCGATCAACACAATTTCGCCTCATATAAAAATTTATCATTGAACTTATAGGCTTCCCAAATTATTTCAATATTTCATTCCAAGAAAAAAGATATAATACTCTAATGAATTCAACTTCAATAAGACTACTGCTATGCAGACCTAATTGTTTGTAAAGTACGTATTTTACAATATATATACATATTTTCAACTAGAATGTCAACTATAAGCTAATTTTTCAATTAGATTTACTAAACATAACTTTAGACATCCCAAATTAATTTCAATATTTCATTCCAAGAAAAATATATAACTTACTTTATATATTCTCTTTTGGCAAACACGTGTCTTTCACGTCCCATAGATTTCTATAAATTGGCTTTTGCACTCACCAAACCATCAAAAGCCCTACTGCACAAAAGAAGGCCTCCATATTTTTGCTTGTTTTAAAACTCTCTTTTGCTCTTTCTTTCTACATCGGACAAATGGGTTGCTTTAGAAAATTCCTTGTGCCCTGTTTGGCTGTTGTGTTTTTGTTCGTGATTAGCTTTTGTGAAGCAAAGGATTTTGTGGTGGGTGGCAGCAAGAGTTCATGGCGAGTCCCTTCTTCTCCAGATGAGTACAACAAATGGGCTGAAAGGAAAAGATTCCACATCGGTGATTCCATTGGTAATATTATTATTTTTTATATTGGATATTTTTTTTTTTTTTGAAAAGGATATATATTTTTTGTTTGATCGAGTTTCCATATGATTTAGTTCCATATGTTTTTTTATCATTAGATTAGTGTAGTAAGTGCCTAATCCAACAACAAAAACAAACAAACAAAAATAAAATCGATTACCGTGCTCTCACCAGTATGTAATTTGCCATTCTTTTTTACATATCATTTTTCTATAATTTTTTTCAAAGAATATAATATATTTTTGCTTGATCTACATCATTTTTCTATTTTTAATTGCACGTAAATATAGTTTTTCTAGTGTTTTAATTATGACATACTTATCAAATATCATTCTCTCCTTTTATTTCATGTGTAGAAATAAAATAATCATGGAAATAATGAAAATATGGAAAGAATATATCGTTTTGCTTGATTAACAATATTTTTTCCATTTTTATTGCGCATAAATGTAGTTTTCTAGTGTTTTCATATAATTATGACATACGTATAATGCACTCTCCTTTTATAGTATATGAAATCTTTCAGAATGGAAATAAAATAATCACAATATTATAAATAGAGAAAATAATTAAAGTATAGCCACATGAAAAATTAATTATTAGGAAAGTAATAAATTCGATATAAAATAATACTGAACAAATAAATGAATTACCAATTCTATTGTTATTTTTTTTTGAACGATATTTATTTTTAAATGTATGAAGTACAAATTTATTTTATTTTTTGGCTTTTCATTTAATTATCTTGTTTATTTATTTATTTTCGCAACTTTTTTCCCCTATAGTTTTCAGGTACGACGGCAAAATCGATTCAGTCCTGCGAGTGACCGAAGAAAACTACAAGAGCTGCAATCTATCCAATCCAATCCAATCCTACGACGATGGGCACACAAGGATTACGCTGGATAAATCCGGGCCGTTTTATTTCATCAGTGGGGCCCACGGCCACTGCGGAAAGGACCAGAAAGTGGAGATTAGGGTTATCTCCGCCAAGCATGGCCCTTCCCCGGCTCCTTCTCCGTCGGACGACCACCACGCTCCGGCGCCGGCACCCAAGAAGAGTGGCGGCGATGGGCTGAGGGCAGTGTTCGTGGTAGGGCTGGCGGCGGCTGCGGTAGGTGTCTTGGCCGTCGTTTAGTAAATTGGAAAAAGTTCGATATTATTATGTCCAAAATTTAATGGCTTGTGAGACTATTATTATTATTAGTATTATTATTATTGGTCATGGATATTATTATTGGTTTGAATTAAGTGGATTTTTGTTTTGGACAGGATTTTAGTTTCCATTTTATTTGTGATTTTGATAGGAACAAAATGGATGTGTTAAAATTAGCCGGATTTTGTTTCATTAAATCTCATTGACCAAAAATTTCACAACACAAAGGTATTTGCCTACTTAATATTTATTATTATGGTGATCTTTTTATATAGAAAATGCGTAAGGATATAATGAATTGCCATTTATTATTTTTCTTGTTTGGTCATTGCCATCATTGGAACAAATCTTTTTTCGTATAACTTTTATCTATTTGATTGTAATACTAATTTTACAATCAATAAATTTATTTTTTATTTTGTGTTTTGAGTTTATAGTCTTTTGGTTTGTATTTTATCTTATTATTTGTTTCTATAATTTTATTAGTCTCATTTTCATACTTATGATCATTTATATGGCCGTGATTTTGAAACCAGTTACCCAAAATTTTGGCTCTATTTTAATTAGAGTTGTAATAGGGTTAAATGTTTTTTACTCGAAATATGATTTACAGAGGACCAAAAATATGATTTTTTTTCATGATTTACATGGCTGTTTTGCTTTGAAAGAAATTACTAAAATACTAAAATGTGTGATTAAACATACACAATCACACACAGCTGCATCGTATTTTAAACATACATTTTATTGACCTAGCATGGAGTGCACAATAAAATCTGATTTATGGTGCTCTTTTGTTTTATTTTTATTTATTTCTTTTCTTCTGTATCATAATTATCATTATTTGTTTGAATGTATCAAGACATGACTATGACTTCAAATTAAATATCTCATATATGAACCAAATTGAATAAATACAAGCATCATAGTTTTATTTCAGATTAATTTTGTGTGAAGAAAATGTGATGCATTATTCTGTTAACGCAAGCAAAATGCTTTATTTTTGGTTAGTAGCCTAAAAAAAAGCTAACTATTGATCAATAGTTTTCTAAATACTGATCAAAATCCGACCGTTGGATTTTCATAAGATTTACGTGTTAGAAAAATTGGTCATACTAGCTTTCAAATGACACCTCCCAATCGAAAATCGGATATTCTGATTGTCAGAAAACTTGAATTGAAATTTTTTCTATACACACGTGCTCCTACTATCTTCGTGGATCGATTATAGAGGTATCAATTTTCAGAATTCGACATATTATACTTCATTTTGTTCGTCTCGCCATGGGCTTTAAAAGCCCTAAATCAATTTTAAACATTAGTTTAAAATTCATCATTAATTGAGTTAAAAACTCTTTTGTGCCATATTAGGGTTTTCAATCGAGGAGGCAAACTGTCAGTTTCGATTACATTGGGAGGCAAATTGTCAAAAAAAAAAAAAATTATATGGCAAAGTAAAAAAACGACATACTTTGGGAAGTTAAAATTTTTTTTCCATTAATATTATTCCCGTGCATCGCACGGGGTACACACTAGTTAACTAAGAAATAGAACAATAATATCAATGCCGGCTGGGAGAGGCAGAGTAGGCTCTTGCCTAGGGCCTCAATTTATTTGGGGCCACATTTCTTTTTTTTTTTGTTGGTTAATATTATGCATTTGTGTTGGGTTTGATCCATTTAAATAAATGAAGTGGCCTAATTAATGAATGAGTAATGACTAAATATTGACTTAGCCCATTACACAAATAAAGATGTTAATGAATAAAGGGCTAAGGGCTAATGACTAAATATGGATTTGGTCCACTACACAAATGAAGAAGCTAATTAATAAAAAGGCTAATGGTTAAATACATAATTCGTTTGTGAATTTGAAAACCTAATATTTCATTTATTTTCTTATGATGTTTGGTCTAAACAATTTGTATTATAATAATTATTTTCAGTGATATTATTTTTTATTTTTTATTCTTAATGTCCTCGTGACTGCTTCAATGTAATTTATTAAATATCTCTATAAACTCCAGAGATAATTTATCATTTTCAAGATCTATTTCAGGATTGATGAAAAATAAGAAAAATTATTTCTTTTTCAATTATTTATTTATTTAGCTTGTCTTGTTGAATTAACTGTTTTTTTCTTCCATGCTTACCACACAAATTCAAATTAAAAACTTCGAAAAAAAAATTGTCTGGGGCCTCCAAATTTCTGGAGATGACCCTGAATAATATGGTCCAAAGATCATGAGAAGGTCCAACTCTTGTAACCATTAAAAATTGTTTGGTATACAAATCTCACTCTCGTTTTTCTTTATCTCATTAAAAAATAATAATTAATATTACATATTTTTATTAACAATACTAGTACGACTGTTATCATCTTTATCAATTAAAATAATTACTATTACATTTTTTTTTTTTAATTATATGTTGAAAGCCAATCTCATCCTATTGCGATAAGAAGCTCACAAGTCATACCTCACTCTTCTACCTTTCAAATTCTGAGTTCGACGCCGCTCATTTTTTTTGTTTTGGTGAGTTTCTCATTATCTGTTGCCAATAACAAGATTGTTCTTTGTTGGCAATTTTTTTAGACTGGCAATTCGAAGCGAGCCCTGAAATTTGTTTAATAATCTTATTTTGAGCTGATTTACGGAGGGTTAATTAGCATCGATATGGAAGAATTGAACTGGGTTCTTCTGAAGATTGAATTTTTTGTGTGAATTCTGAATTTTCGATAGTGAATAATTCTCAGTTTGAATTTCATGAATTGTTGGAAGCGAGTGGATTAAAAAAATGGATTTATCTATACTAAAGCATACATCCCTTTACAATTCAGGTTGGCCTTTTAGTTTTCTTCAGGTCAAAAGATGTTTGTTGGAATCTTTTTGAGCCTGCATTGAAGAATTTTCAGCTTATGAATGTATAAGCTTTCTGGGCTCGTATAAAGTTAGCATCAAGGGCAATATCGTTTTTTGTTTTCCCCTGTTACCTTGTGGTAGGATGGAACGAGTTACATAGGTTTGAAAAAATGAACTATTATAATTAGTTTTGATAGATTTAGATTGAGCTTTTGTTTTTAGGCCTGGACATAATCGAGCTGAATATAAATGGAGATGAAACCTCGATTTATTAGTGTGTTTCATTTTTGCACCATGTGATTGATTCATCAGTATCACATTATTTGAAGATGCCATATTACTCTTTACAACTCTTGTGTCAACATTGAGAGTTCTAAATGGTTTTGCATATTCCATTTTTAACTTAAACTGCTACAATATGTTTTACACATTTTTCAATCTATCTTCCAGTTCTATTATCTTTTCAATGGCATATGTGCTTTTCCTATCTCCTCATTTGTTTTATGTAATTATATTGATTTATTACAATGGAATTTCAGTTATGTTGTTTTGGTTGCATTTCTGCTTGTTAGCGTGTTCAAAACTGTTAATGAGAATAAATTAGAAGTTCAACGCCTTTTAAATTTCTATATTAGCTAAACAATTTCATTTTCTATTCCTTACTATTTCTCTTGCACGATGTCGGGGTGGGTAATGGCTGATATCTACGAACAACTTTGTCAAGTGAGCATCTCTAACACTACAAAAAAATGTGTAAGATAACTGGTCAAAAACTTTCTTTTATTCCTTTTTTTTCCTTTTAATTTCAGGATGGATAGTGTGTGTCTCAATCCTCAGTTCAGCAGAACTGCACTATTGCATGGTAAAGGGATGACAAATCCGAAGTTTGATGTTCTAAAATGTGGCACGTGGCAATGCCTCGGCTCACTCAATTCTTTGAAGGTATTTCTTTTGCCCTTTATGCTTTCATATAATTATTTATGCATCTCTGTGGAGCATTGAAACTTGTAGTCTGTCAAAAAATTATCTTTTCGTAATCTCTGATGTGCTCTTTGTTATTTGATTAAGCTAGCTGCTTTGCCGTTCCCATTCCCATTAGTGTACATGTTTTTAGTTTTCTAATTCAATTTGGATGCTTTTACATCTGTATTCTAGTTTATGCTTCATGTTATTCAAATAGCATCTTAGCTAGCTGATTTCATATGACTGATAAAATTGATAAAACATGAGTCATATGCATGTCTTTATGTATAAAAATTACTGTGTGTCTGTGTGTGTGTGTGTGTAGCCACTGCATTTTCAGGTTGGTCAACTGAACACCAAACTTCCATTGCGCAAATCCACTCGTGTCCAATCACTGGTCATCAAATGCGATCACCCTCAAAATGCAGATTTTCCTCGTTATTACTCTAAAAGGGAGAAAAAACCATTTCCCATACCAATTGTCGAGTTACGCCGAGCTGCCCGAGAGAGGCTGAAAAATAGAAAGAACCAACCAAGAAGGCCCGTGCCTCCTCCCAAACAAGGCCTGGTGGTTGGAAGACTAATTCCTGTTGCGTACAGAGTGCTGAATGCAAGAATCACACTTATCAACAATCTCAAAAAGCTCCTGAAAGTGATGCCTGTAAAAGCGTGCAAGTAGGTCACCACGTGTCCCCATTTTCCTAGCAATTATTAAGGGCGTGTTTGTATACAAATATATCCGCTCAAAATGAGTTTTTTTTTTTTTTTTTTTGTTAACTATGGATTTTGAAAAAGTTGGTATGATTAGTTTTTAGTAGAATTTTGAGTTTAAACTGAAATAATTGAAGTTAATTTGATGTAAAAGTAGGAGAGAGATGATGTGAAGTGATGGATAGTTAAAATTACGTGAGTCGATGAATAGTGAATTAAAGTTGATGTGATACGAGAAGAATGATTGGCTGGTATTATTTAATTATATTTGATAATATTGAAGATAGTGAGGTTGAGTTAATGTTAAGTTAGATTTTGAGTATGAGTTGAAATAATTGATAAACAAACCCACCCTAAACAAATCTCAGATCTCAGTTATCCCAGACAAAAAGTTACCAAACCAATGTGATAGTTGTTACTAAAGCGTAGTGTTTTATTTTACCATGATATTCGTTTGAAGGTGGTGCAATGAAGTCCACGTGGGCTCGTTCGGGCACCCTTTCAAATCGTGCAAGGGCTCACAAGCTTCGATCCGCAAAGGATCACACGAGTGGTGCGAAGCAGTTATCGAGGATTTGCTAGTTCCAGTCGAGGCTTTCCACCTGTACGACCGTCTCGGAAATCGCATCACTCACGGCGAGAGATTCTCCATCCCGAGAATCCCGGCAATTATCGAGCTATGCATTCAGGCAGGAGTCGACCTGCCCGAGTACCCGACCAAGAGAAGAAGAAAACCGATCATACGCATTGGAAAAAAGGAGTTCGTCGACGCTGACGAGAGCGAGCTCCCCGACCCGGACCCGGAAGCCCCGAAGCCCGAAATACTCGTCGAAATACCAGATTTGGAAATTTTCTCGCCAGCTGGCGTGGAAGAAACTGCATTGCTTGCCGAGGAAACACTCAAAGCGTGGGAAGAAATGAGAGAAGGGGCCAAAAGGCTGATGAAGATGTATCCGGTTCGGGCCTGCGGGTACTGCCCGGAAATTCACGTGGGCCCAACTGGGCACAAGGCCCAGAACTGCGGGGCCCACAAGCACCAGCAGCGTAATGGGCAGCACGGGTGGCAAACTGCGGTTCTCGACGACTTGATTCCGCCGAAGTACGTGTGGCATGTGCCGGATGTTGATAAGCCTTTGGAAAGGGAGCTGAAGAATTTTTACGGGCAGGCCCCTGCAGTTGTCGAATTGTGCGTGCAGGCTGGGGCTCGTGTGCCCGGGAACTACAAGCCGACTATGAGGTTGGATGTGGGAATTCCTACGGATGTTAGGGAAGCTGAAATGGCCGTTTGAGTATTCTAATAGCAGGTACTTTGCCTGTCGATTAATTTATGGTATTTATTGATAAATAATGAAATACAAAGTCATAGTTTTTATATTTGAAAAAGTCTGTTTTTTGAAAAAGTTGTATTATTGCGTTTGTTTGGAGATCGTATTATTGCCGGTTGTGGCTGAAATGATTTTAGCAGCACTTGATAATCTATGCTTCTGGCTGACGGTGTTTTGAGAATGTCTGGCTTGTAAGATAAAGCTCTATGTCTGCACTTACAAGATCAAGAGAATCTTGGTACTGGGAAAGACATTTGTCAAGAAACGAGCCTGAAGCTTTGCAGTTATCCAGGTTCGTGTGTATAAGCTGGCGTTTAACACTCTGTTGCCATTGGGAGTAGGGAGTTTAAGAATGTTGTAAATTGTAAGTTTGAACTGACTAAAGTAGATTAATATCAATACTCTTTAAATGTAATTATAATGTTTTATACATCTTAGATATACTATGGCTATATCTTCACGTTGTTTCTTCTCTGTGTCTGCATCCAATTTTAATCTTATGTCGTTCTCCTTATGCTATTTGGCTCAAATGCTATTGAGTGGTGTCCAAGATGTTATCTTGCTTGAAAATTTTGAAATAATGTTAATAGAACAGGGGGTAAAGGACTAGAAATGGAGTTAACTTTCACAATAACACAATGATTTAAGCATAAAACAATCAGGAAATATAGATTGGGTAACAGTAATAGGAAACTACAAACTTAAAAACAGTGAAGTATGAACTTGTAGGATACAATACATCATGAATACACACTAAAAAAGGTTGAACAATGACAAACTGCATGAGTTGATCATTCAAGTACATGGTATGATGGAAATCATCTCTAGCTCTGTTTAATACTTTCGCTCTGTGTATGATTCATGGCAACTCGTTCGCATGATGAATTAAGGAGATTTTGGTCCTTCCGGCAAAGTGGGCTCGGGTAATCCTGGGAATTTTGGGAGTTCAGGCAACTTGGGAAATTCTGGCTTCGGGAAAGTTGGTAACTCTGGTTTCGGAAGTGATGGCAATTCATGTTTTGGCAGTGTTGGAAGCTCGGGATTGGGCAATTTTGGGATTTCGGGCTTCGGCAATGTTGGTAATTCAGGTTTTGGTAATGATGGAAGCTCGGGTTTTGGCAATTGCGGAAGTTCAGCTTTTGCCAGTTTTGGTTGCGGTTGTTCAGGCTTTGGCAATGTGGGAATCTCGGGTTTTGGCAACTCAGGCTTAGGTAATGTCGGTAATTCAGGTTTTGGCAATGTAGGAATCTCGGGTTTTGGCAACTCGGGTTTAGGTAATGTCGGTAATTCGGGTTTTGGCAATGTGGGAACCTCGGGTTTTGGCAACTCGGGCTTTGGTAATGTTGGTAATTCAGGTTTTGGCAATGTGGGAATCTCGGGTTTTGGCAACTCGGGCTTTGGTAATGTCGGTAATTCAGGTTTTGGCTGTGTGGGAATCTCGGGTTTTGGAAAAGTTGGAAGCTCGGGCTTGGGTACTTCGAGGAGGTGGCGCGACTCAGCTCGATTTGTGTTGCCGGCTATTGAAGACAATGTGATGAACAAGAGCAAGAAAAGTGAAGTGTTGGTTCTCAAATTCAACATTTATACTCTATTTGTAAAGACAAATAAATAAATAAATAAAATAAAACATTGGATGCAACATGTACTATATGTGTTTTGAACTCCATCATGTAATATTTTTGTGATGAACTCCATCATGTAATATTTTTGTGATAAAAAACATGAACTTTATGAACATTTATAATTGCAACATTGTCTATATTTTATTGTAAGATCATCTACAAAAATAGACATATGTATGGTTAAGATGTATGCACATGAAGTTTAAGTTGTATTTTATCGTGAAATACTATAGATTATTCATTTTGTGGATGATTATATTGTCAAGATGTATTGCAAATTATGAATGATCACAAAATTTATGTTGTATTTTACCATAAAATACTATATAAGTTGTAAATCTAATAATAGTATAGAATTAGTAGAGTTGGAAAAAATGTTTTATCCAAAAAAAGTAATAAACAACGTACCAAATTAATTTTATTTTGCCATCTGGGCACATCTGACGTCATAAATGTCTCAAGAAAGTTCAGTAGAAAATGAGGTGGCTATCTATATACGGATTAGAGATGATGGGTATGAAGTTTGAAAAATTGAAATTACCAACTCGTGTACGTTATGTATCAAGTCAAAAGCTGTCTACCAACTCCTTGAATATAGTTAAAACTCATCAATCTTCCATGCATGTATTTGAAATAAATATTTCCATTGGTCTTATAATTTCATTGGTATGTATGCTTTCGAATGTAGAAATTTATTACTACATATGTTTCAAAATTAAGTGTTCTTGTAGTGAAAAATATAGATATTAATCATAATTCATATCTTTGCTAAATACATTTTTTTATTAATAATTTGAAGAGAGCAATAAATACATTTTGTTTTGTCACAAAATAATTTGAAGAAGGCAATAAATACAGAATTATTAACAATTTATGACTTTGCTAAATACATTTTTTTATTAACAAATCTCCATTAATCATACATATTACGCATATCTTCAAACTAGCTAAGGATCTCTCTCAGCTATATTAGTACTTAATCTCTAAGTACGAAAAAAGTGTTTGTAAGAACAGAAAATAAAATACAGTTCTTCAATGTTGTAAGAACATTGAAAAACTGTTCACTATAAAAACTCGAAAAACAAATCTCACAAATATAAAAAGAAGTGTTCAAGTACATTGATCTCCAATAATTGCAGCCTTAACTTGAGTATTTATGTAGATATAATGATATATATACAAACTACTCAAGGTAATGAGTCTTCAAACTTCCTTAAGTATTTATGTAGATATAATGATATATATACAAACTACTCGAGGTAATGAGTCTTCAAACTTCCTTCATTTTTGTGTCGATTTCTTTCGTTCTTTAAACTTAAAAATATGGCCAAGATCTTTATCTTGAAGTCCATCGTGACAAACATATAGAAATAATATCCTTACTTAAAAATAAAGTCTAAGAAAAACTTTTCATACTAATAAATATAATAGAGTCTGATCTTTTGCTTGTATATTATATCAAGATATCATTTTCGGAATTTTTTACCAAAATAAAAATCTTACACATTGATTGGCCATTATAAACCCACGCTCTGTTCCTTTTTCTCCACGATTTTCATACCCAACTCCTCTTGAGATTCTCACTCACACACAGTGAAATATCATCTCATCTCACATCTCATCTCAAGAAACCAAACAAAAGCCATAAGGCCAATAACATATAATGATCAGGAAAATATAAAGGGTCCTTTTGGGGATTATATGTGTGAAACCATTGAAAAAGCATGCGCCTTTGCGTATCAGCAATAATTTCTTGAGCTAATTCTTAGAGTGGCTCTGTTTTCAGAAAAAAAAATCAAGAAATTTCATGAGGCAGCCGCTGCTGATGTCAGGTTAGCTTGAAAATTAGCCAACTCCGTTACAAATACGCTTCTCTTCATCTTCAATTTGGCTTTCTTTTTGTTCGAAATATTTTTTGTGAGTTGGGAGATGTCATGATGTCGATTTTGGTAATAAATATCGCTTTTTGAGAAGTGGGTTTCTTTCTGTTTTCTGTAATTTTCGGAATTTGGAGTGTTTCCCTTTGTACCACTCACTTTGTTCAGTGCCCTTATATAAGTTATACCCATTGGCAGCAATTGAAAAAATTTGATCTTTAGGTGTGTGGTTATATTATCTCGTCCTTTAATTGTGATCCCTCTGAAAGTCTGCCCCAAATTTCATATTTTCTTGGTTGTTCTGTAACTCTGTTGGCTACTGTTATCATGAACATTCACCGGTTCGCGAATTCTTGATCTTTCGATTTCGTAGAGTTGATATTTCGATTTCGCGAATTAGACCAGTGTATGTATATGTTCATGAAACAGCCTCCACATGTTACTAATGTTTTACTTCTTCGTGTTTTTTTGGTCATTTGCAATCATTTTCGAGCAAAGAACTCGAAGATCCCCCTCCGAAGTCCCTCCGAGAAAAATGCAGTGCCCTATTAGCCTCTGCTCGAGCCGCGCTCCAAGCCAAGCCCATTTCCCACTGGATTCTCCTAACACTTAGCAGCTTGGGAATACTAGTTGCTTTCCCTGCCTCATCTCTCTTATCCCGCGTTTACTTCTCGAACGGCGGCAAAAGCAAGTGGATAATCTCGTGGGTTGCCGTGGCCGCGTGGCCCATCCCGGCCCTCGCCTTAATCCCTACCTACATTCTCCTCAAAGTCTCCCCGACTCGTCCAACCCTAAAGCTCGTAATTTCCTATATTGCCCTTGGCTTCCTTTCGGCTGCCGATAACCTCATGTACGCTTATGGCTACGCTTACTTACCTGCCTCGACAGCTTCCTTACTCGGCTCTACTTCCCTGATTTTCTCGGCGTTTTTCGGGTACCTTCTCGTCGGGAACAAAATCACCGCCTCGGTTATAAACGCCGTCATCCTAATCACGGCCGCCATGGCCATAATCGCCCTCGACTCCGATTCCGAGACGTACGGCGGCGTGACCCAAGCTCAGTACGCGATGGGTTTCGTGTGGAATGTGGCGGGCTCGGCTCTGCATGGCCTCATATTCGCGCTCTCGGAGCTCGTTTTCGTCAAGCTTCTCGGGCGGAGATCATTCCACGTCGTGCTCGAGCAGCAGGCGGCAGTCTCGTTTTTCGGGTTCGTTTTCACGTCGGTTGGGGTGGCGGCGAACGACGATTTCTCCGGGATGGTTCGAGAGGCGAGGGTTTTTAGAGGCGGGAAAGGGTCGTATGTGTCAGTTCTGGCGTGGGGCGCGTTGAGTTTTCAATTGGGGGTTTTGGGCGGGACGGGCGTGCTTTTCCTGGCGTCGACTGTGCTGGCGGGAGTGTTGAATTCGATTCGCGTGCCGCTCACGAGCTTTGCGGCCGTGGCCATATTGAAGGACCCGATGAGCGGTTTCAAGATATTATCGTTGGTGATCACGTTTTGGGGGTTCAGTTCGTATGTGTATGGTAATTATCCGAAGGGCAATAAGACTTCGTCGTGATTGATGAGCGGTTTCAACTTTCAAGATATTGTGATTGATGAGCGGTTTCAACTTTCAAGATATTGTCGTTGGTGATCACGTTTTGGGGGTTCGGTTCGTATGTGTACGGTAACTATCCGAAGGGGCAATAAGACTTTGTCGTGATTGATGAGTGGTTTCAAGATATTGTCGTTGCCTCGTTGGCGATCACGTTTTGGGGGTTCGGTTCGTATGTGTACGGTAATTATCCGAAAGGCAAATAAGACTTCGTCGTGATTGTGTAGACTGAAATCTTTAGGGTTTGTAATGGTTTAAGTTGGCAAAAGCTATGTAGTTTTATATGTTTTATTGAATGCGTGAGCTGAACTTGAGAAATTTCACTGGCCACAATTGAATTACTACATGTATAACATTCTATTCCAGATGAAAGTTCGGTTTATATCTTACGCAGTAACTTAGATGCACATATCTGAATTCTGAAGCAAATATATTATGATATACACTTCTAAAACAGCAATCAAAAATCATCACTAAGAAAAAAGAGGGCAAAAAAATCCAGACTGACACACAGACAGCATAAATCATTGGTCTGTTGTATAAAAACCGTGTCTTGCTGCGTATTAGGTCAACTCTCCGAAGGGAGTAGCGACATTTTTTTGTAACTTTAATCACCAGAAAACCAGATAAAAAGAAAATTTTGAGAAAATACCATTTGGAACAAGAACCATAATAAGAATTCGCTGTCTGGTTCTGCAGTTATTATGACAGACAAATGACATTCATATAGTTACTAGTTCTTGGGACCAATGTCCTTCAGGGCACAGATCTGCTCTTCTCCCATTGCCGACATAACAGACACCACAAGGTCCTTTCCTTCCTCGAACCCACTTTTAATCTGCACGTAAATCGAATTTAAAGAGGGGAATGGTGATTTGTTTCAATAATTCTAAATATTGTTTGAATTTTACAAGTAGATAATGCAATTTCACAACTTAATCACTCAACATTCTGTATGGACTTGAACAAATCACATTTTCTATTTTAATAAATCAATTACTATACAGAAGAAGTCAGGGCAAACAGGGAAAATCAGAATGATTTCGAACTTAACAATTTTCTATTCAATGGCCAAAATACTTGGTAGAAACTGAAAACAAAAGAGAGGCAAAAAATTTTTGCTCACCTGACCAAGCAGATTCTCATCAGTAGGAAGCCTCAAATCGTCTTTGGTGTTACCGTTTTCAGTCAGAAGAGAGACCTACGACACACAAGCCTTAAACTGCTCAAGGTTTCTGAATGAAAAGAAAACGAACTAAAATATATAAAATGCTAGCTTCTACAGTGAATTGAAATTGGTGATAAAGATGAACTTTATCAACTAATTTAGATAATATAATGGGAAAAAACACAGGGATGATGAACATTAAATAGTACCAAGACCAAGTATGCTGTAACTTCCAGTTGCAAATTTATATAAACTTAGCCAATTGTGTAACCGGAATATTAGTGAATATTCAATTGGCACACTAAGCTTCTGGTATGCAAAAACAAAAGTCAAAATGCTGATGTTATCAAAATCTTTCAAAATAAATGTTGAATAATGAAGTAAATCTTGTTTTACACATCCATCAATATAAATAACTTACAAAACCATCTTCAGAGATGTCAATAAGCTGATAATCAGTACGGTTCACATGAGGCACCTGAAAAGACCACATCAAATGATTTCTTTAGCAATTTAACACAAATACAGTGCTGTCTATAAAGAAACTCAGAGACAAAAGAAAAAAAGAAAAAAAGTTACAGAAAAAAGATAATAATTTAATAAGAAAATTACATCACAGTTGTGGGACGATGGAACAATATCTTCAAGCTTCTTTCCATTGAATATGTCAATAGCCACAAAGTGACACTTCGCATGCCCATGCTTTCCGGTTTTCGAGGTGGAGACTTCGACAACCTATTCAAGTACAAAGGAATAAATTAGCACATCATAATCATCAAGGTAATCATGGATAAATAATACTATTTCAGAAGTCTTTGGAAAGGCGTGTGCTGTCTAGAAGCATTTCATTTGATTCTCTCCAACAAAACAGATGTACGAAAGAAATCTCATCAGAGGCATGGTGAGCACCCATTATGATAAACCATTACAATATCAAATGGAGCTCGAGCAATTGAAAAGAACTCGATCAAATCTCTAAGAAGGTGAAAGGAAATAATTGCAAACTAGTTGAACGAGTAGTTACACAGTCCAGATCGAAGATGACTATTGACCATTCAAGTAGAGAACGGACTTAATGTTTTCATTTAGATAACAACATGAATGAATCTTATCACTCTTAAATAAGAATCGGCCGTGCATATTATTATAAAATTACGGTCACTACTCACAAGGTTGTTCACTGAAGTTAGACAGTGGTACCAAGTAACAAATTTAAGCAGCAAAAAATGATCATTTTCTCATTGTAGCATTAAGCAAGAAGTTTGCAATCATATCTTCAATAAAAAAAGGGGAATAAATTCCAAATAAACAATAAGCAGAGTTAAAAACGCTACAGTCTACAGACTTGTCTGCCATCCTTGTACGAGTAAATCAGGACTAATTAGTTAAAATAGTTCAAATCAACCTAATAAGACGGATCAGGGTAGACAGACAAATGAGCAAACAAAGAAAAATCCTAAAAACAACGATAATTAACCTAAAGGAGAATCGAATAAACAATTTCCAGTTCAAGCCCAGATTTACGGAAGCGAGAGGCCAATCAAGATCTGATGAAATCGAGACAAGCCCAGCACAGACACAGAAACAGAAACAAATCCCCCAAAACAATCCTATCTTTAAATCGAATCCTACAAGAAGATGCAAAATGAACAAAATCGAAACCTTGCAGGGCCTGCCCTTGATGACAATGTGACCGTTCTTGCGGATGGTTCCAGCTTGCTGAGGGTAGGTCTTGGATGCGCCGGCGTCCGCCTTAGATTCGAAGTGATGCTCCTCGTCCGACATCTTTCTCTGTCTCTCTCTACAGTATTTGTTCTGCTGTTCAAAAGAGATGGTTTTGGTTCCTTTTAGTTGACTCCTCTTTGTTTAACCTTTCGGCAAACAAATGGCTATGGCCCTTTGGGCTGTTACTTTTCTCTTTACTTCTTTTTACACAAATTATGTGTGAGGCGCCTAATCGTTAGTTGGATCAGACTATTATATTTTTGTAACAAAAATATTATGAGATGTCATGATTTAATTCTTGTTGTTTTTAGAATATGTCATTTTAATTTGAAATTATGTAATATTTGTTGAGAAATTATAGTTGTCTAGCTGATAGATTTGCTTAAGGTACTAATAATCTCATTTCTTTTATGAAATTATACTTTAACTCATTATATTATAAAACTTTTTACATTTAAATTTGTATTTTTGGCACTTAAAAATTATCTAAATTATGTGAAATTTTACACTTTTCCTATTAAATTTATATTTTTTTACAATTAATGAATAAAAAAGGAGTGATAGTTCAATTTTGATAATTGTTCATATAATTTTTGTATTGGCAAGAAATTATGCTCATCCTTAGACTTTATAGGAAAAAGTTGTCACTTTTGGCTTGAAAACTATCATCTCCTCGCAATAATTCAACAAGACTTCTGAAGCAGAAAACATATTTTTCATTTTACTACAAGATTTCACCTTTTGATATAATTGGTCGTCTTATATGTATGAGGGTTCTTGTTTTTTAGGATGTGCAAACTGAAAAAACAAGATACTTGAAGCTCATATATGGTACCTAAGGAATAATGATAAGGGTCCGCTTAAATAGCTTTTCTCAAATGGCGAATACGATTAAATTAAACTAAAAATAATACACATGGTTATCAACTAATTACAAAGATCATCCTAATTGTCAAGTGACAAAAAACGATCCACGAGAGAGTCACTGTAACATAAGACCTCCTACTCGAAAGGAACTATCCCTAGAAAAACTCTCAAGCAAGAGAGACAAATTACTCGACAAAGGAGATTAAAACACTTCACCAAGGGAGACTAACAAGTGACAACAGAAAAATAACAAAAACAAAAAGGAAAGTAAATAGCGAACAAGCAAAATAAACTAAACTAACTTTAAACTGAAGTCTTCCCCGACTACCAACAAGCACCACTCGCTACACCAAGAAGCACTGACCTCCCTGAACGACCAACGAAAAAATAGATCACCAAAGTAAGAATCTCGGATATGGACACTCTAATACTCCAAACGACTATTGTTACTCAGATATGAAGAAAACAATTCGGATCCAATCTTCAAACTCGACAACCAAAAAACTGACTGCTGAACAGTCCACCTCCAACCACCAAGAGAAAAGAAAGAGAGATACTTTCCCATCAAATCCAATTGGGGATATTTAGGGAGCAACAACTATAATTTCTAACATGAGATGTTGAAATTATAATATGTTAGTCAAATCATTAAATTATAAAGTTTGAAAAGAAAAATTAATTTTCAATCAATAATTATGACCTATTTTATGCTAACATGAATAAATAAATTATAAAGTTTTGAATAACCAAAATTCCATCGATACTGTTATTAGCTATTTTATGCTAAGATGAATAAATTATAAAAATCAAAAGTGTGGAGCTCACTTTAATTCTCCACGTTCGCTTAAAAAGCCAAATTATTCAAAATTTGACTTATTTACATAATAGAAAGTCAAGTTGTCCCATATTTTAGCAGACTTTGTTGAATACACCTACAATAATTATGTTATTTTTTTTTACTGGAAAAGAAATTTATCATTAATAAAATAATTATGTTATTTAAAATGAATGCATTGAGCGTATATGTATATCAAATGATTTTTTTTTTTGTTAACATTCATCTGGATTTAAATTAAATTTAGTGTTATAAAAGCCTAGGATAGTACAAATTTCGAAAGCAATAAGCAGTCAAAAGAATCTAACATGCTGGATATTAAACATTATCAAGTTAACATAATTGGATTCAAGTAGTCATTATTATATTAGGCAGAACGTGACCGTATATGTGCAATCATAAGGTCTGCTTCATGATTAATTGAGTCAAAACACACTAATCTGGCATGCATGCTTTGTCTGCTAGTAGCCAATTTTGTCTCAATGCATTCTAAATTTATCAAAAGCCTAAACTAAATACTCCTAAAATCCTAATTCACGACAAATTTCTTAGTCAACAAGAGACGCGCTAAAAAAAAACTATATTATAAATNTTGTAAAAAAATAAGTTAATAAAAAAAAAATGTTAAAAAAATCGTAACAGTTTGAATAAAAGTTTTTATTATTATTTTTTTTTAAATATACTTCAAGAACATGACTCTTTTGGGGTCCTTCATTGCTTCAACTCGCATTGTTTTGGCCATTCGGGCCACCAGAAAAAATCTACTGCTAACTCAAGATTGCAAGATGCTTGTTAGCCAAATGAATAAGAAGGTACAAAATTCATATTCTAAATACAAATGATCAAAACAACTGCACTAAAATCAGACATTTTAGCCAGAAAAACACAAGAACAGGCACACCACAAGGATCAAAAGCAACTGCACTAAAAAATCAGACATTTTTAGCCAGAAAAAACACAAACAATCACAGGAAAACCCAAGCAAAAAACACCGGCAACCCTCCCAATCAAAAACCCGATCGACCTCTGCTATACACGCTAAAACACGAAAAGCAATCGAAAAAAAAAAAATACGAGCTCCAAACCCCGTTTCAAACTCGCCATTCTCCCTAACCCGTAATCTGCTCGAGATCCTTAAGTAGCCCCACAACCTGCTGCATGCTCGGCCTCTTCGAAGGAAGTTCAGCCGTGCAAAGATACCCGACTTTCAAAGCCTCCACAATCTGCCCATCAGGCCCGGTCCCACGAATCTTGGGGTCCACTGCCCGTAACCCTTCATTCCTCCTAACCAATCCCCTCACCCAACTCACAAGATTCTCATCCGGCATTTTCCCTGTCACCACCTCCAATAACACGACCCCAAATCCATAAACGTCCGATTTAGTACTCGGGCCCTCACCATTTTGCCCGAACTCCGGCGGCAAATAGCCCAGAGGCCCGTGGCCCGTTATCCCATCCTCAAGCCCGTTTCCGAAAATCTTAGCCACCCCAAAATCCGAAAGCCTCGGCTCTAAATTAGAATCGAGATAAACACTGCTGGCCCTCACATCTCGATGAATAATCGGAGGCAAACACCCGTGGTGAAGAAACGCAAGGGCCCGCGCGGACCCCAGCAAAATCTTGTGCCTGAACTGCCAGGTGGCGGCCAGCGAGCCCTCCGAGCCCACGTTCTGTATCCCATTGTTATTTTCTTCCTCCCACGTGTCATTGCTCCAGTCCTCTGTGGTCTGAACTCCGAGCGGCAAATCGTGCAGTAGATTCTGCAAGTTGCCGTTTTCCATGTACTCGTAAATCGCGATCCTTTGGTCTCCGGCGAGACAGTAACCCGTTAACGGGACAAGATTCGGGTGTTTGATTCGTCCGAGGTATTCGAGCTCTTTTGCAGCCTCGTGGTCAGTCATGGTCGAGCCGTTGACCAAGACTTTGACTGCCACGTGGATTCCTCCCGGGAGAAGCCCGCTGTAAACGGGCCCGAATCTGCCCTCGGCTAGTAATGTCCCTCTGTCGAAATTCGAGGTCGCGGATAAAAGATCGGCGAATGTGAAGTTGAGTAACGGTTTTTCGAAAATCACGACTGGGACAGATGTCGCTTGCTTAACGTCTGCTACCCACGTCGTCGAGTCCGTTTGGAACGAGAAAGGTCCCGAGACAGTTTGTTCTTCTCTATTGCACGAATTCTGTTTGATGGCCCACATTCTCGTTTTTCGCCGGCAACGGAAAGCTAAAACGAGCAGGCCGACTAGTAGGCAGATCATGGAGATTGTTAGGAGAAGAGCGAGTTTAAGTCCCTTGTGTTGACTCGAGGCTTTCTTTCGGAAGAGGATTGGGTTTGCGGCAATCGGGCAGCTGTTGACTGACCCGATGAAAGCGGATTGTAGGGTGATTTGGGGAAATTGGGTTTCGCAGAGAGTTAGATTGTTGTATGAGAAGTTGAACTTATTCATCACATGAAGGTTTTTTATCAGAGCTAATGGGATTTCTCCCGTTAGGTTGTTCAGGGAGAGGTCGAGTGTTTTTAAGTGTGTCAAACTCGACATTTTGCTCGGAATTCGGCCGATCAAATTGGTGCTCGATAGGTTCAGATACTCTAAATTTGTGAACGTGTCGACTTGCGTAATTTCATGTTTGGCGAATCTATTGAATGCTAGATTGAGGTACGTAAGGTTTCTAGCACGAGTCAAGCAAGTGAAAAAGAAGAACTCGAAAAACTCCCCACTCAACTGATTCTCCGACAAATCCAAATAGACCAAATTCGACCAGTCGAAGGTTGGGCTTGAGCTGAAGTTTGCTTGAGCAACAATGTGGCCTTGAAATTGGTTCCTGCTCAAATCAACTACTTCTAATGGGCCTCCAAAGAGATTAACAACAGAGCCGTTAAACAAATTGCTCGAAATATTAAGATACTCTAATCTCATTCTGGAAAAATCCAAATCCTGACCAGAAATCTGATTCCCAGCTAACCTCAAGAATCTCAGCTCTAGAAATGCAGCAGCAAAGCCATTAGGAAGTAAACCGACGAGATTGTTTTCGGATAAATCTAAGGCGACCAAAGATTTGCACTGACAAATCCCTAACGGTATATCCGATTCGAAACCATTACGACTCAGATTCAAAACCTGTAAAACGGCGAGCGAGCCGATTTCTTCAGGGATCCTCCCAGAGAAATTGTTGAAAGAAATGTCCAAACTTTGAAGCTGCCCAAAATCAACAATGTTACTAGAGAGACTCCCACTGATTTGGTTGTGTGAGAGGTTAAGGGTTTGAAGTGTGCCCAAGCTCCAGAAATCAGAAGGGAGAGCTGTGATTTTGTTATTGCTGAGATCCAATTTTCTAAGCTTTGTTAGTTTACCAATGGTTGAATCTGGAATTACACCAGATAGACCCATACCAGATAATTGTAGCTCAACGGCGTGTTCTTTATTGTCATCACAAACCAAACCCCTCCAAGAACACAATGGACCAGAAAAGCCATTATCTTGAGGGGATTTCAAGCCCATTTTTTGCAAGAAGTCAAGAATGAAAAACCCATCTGTATTTGGTCGTTGGCCAAACAAGCCCTTGGCACACAACAGCAATAGAATCAAGAAAGAACCAAAATTTGGAAAACCCATTTCAGGAAAAAAAAAATGTTAAAGATTAAGCTATAAAATTAAAGGGGGGAAAAGGAGCCCTTCAAAACCCTTGTTCTCAATTTTTTCAAGATCAAGACTTTAGCGCCATTAATGGCGCCTGCACAAAAAATTTTCTCTCCCACCTGCAAAAGATAATAAATCCACAACTACCGGCACCATATCACAAACCACCAAACAGTGAAATTGATGAGCGAACACAGAACAAGTGAACACTTAATGTTCTGTAGACCAAAAGCCCGAGAAGAAGGTAGAGCTGCACTTATTGCTGAGTAAAGGCATGAAAAGATGATGCCAAAGGCAGCACATGGAAATTTGGAGATAATGAAAAAGAAGTTTTGCTTTTTAGAGTCTGGAGTTGGGGAGTGAATGAGACTGAGGATACCTGTCTGGTTTGGTGTCAGTTCTAATGAAGCCCGAGAAAAGAAACAAATCTTTGTCTCTCTTGCAAATAAATTGAATATAATTTTTTTTTCTAACAATTAAATTGAAAATGTCATAAAAATTCAATTTAAGAAATTGATAAAAAAAAAAATTGAAATTGTGAATGTTTATAGGATACAAATATAAAATACAAAAGTTAAAAAAAAAAAAATTGAGAACGAGTTGGATAGAATTGAAATTTGAAATGGATATAAGATAAAAATATAATTATTAACGTTTATATGATGTAAAAAAATTGATAATTTTTTATGAATTATATCAGTAGATAAATATATTTTTTTCGTTTAAAATATTTAATAATAACAAAGAGAAGAAATTAATATAATTTTTTTGAATTTTTTTTATTTTAATTAGATAAAGCTTAATTGAACACTATGGAAAAATGATTTTTTTTTTATTAAAATCCACCTATTTAGGGATTGAGTTCACTAATGGAAAAGATATTATTTTTTCTTTAAAAATGGAATGTTATTTATCAAAACTCCACCTAATTAGCATTTGGGGTCCTTTTTTTTTTTCAAAATGATTTGGGGTCCATAAATGACAAAAATATTATATTTTCTTCTTTTGGGGCTGGTGACATAATTATTGTCGATATATTTGTTAAAAGTTAAAACAGTGGGTTTCCGTGTTAAAGGCTTGGAAAATTTCATGAGAAGCACTAGATTTTCCATAGTGTGTCAAATAAGACTAATTTTATAAATTCTCAATCCCGGACTTCATTTTTAATATTTCTCAACTAGGGGCATGCATTTTGAAAATGTTCTCAAACTAAATACTTATGACATGAAAAAAAATAATTATGCTAATTTTTAAAATTAAGGTATATTTTGATAATTATGATGAAACTCAAGTCCAACAATGAAGGTCTGAATTAGAATGGTTCAAAGCTAAGAGGGCTTCAGATGGTGCATTTTGATGGGCGCTTGTGAGTGTTGGCGCGGCGTCTATACCGTTGGCGGGAACGGTTGAAATTTTGAACAGGCATGCAGGTTGCACGTGGACTAGGCGGTTACTTGGTCCAGTGTGGCCTAGGCGGTATTATCCATTCGAGATGGCTTGGCCGAGTAGGGTCAAATGAGAACTGATAGGCGGCACGTGGCTAGATGCTTTTAGTGACACGTGGCGCAGGATGGTTATTGACCAACGAGTTCTGCGATCGTTTGGGAGTAGCGGTTGCCTTGCTGAGTCGACATCAAACTGGATGAAGCACAAGGATAGGTAGGTTTGTGAGAAATCCCCCAGACAGTTGATAGACAATTACACCTACAATAGTGAAGAACTTTCACCAGAATGAGTTTAAAACGACATTGAAAAAGTAATTATTATTCGAAATGAGAAAGATTATTATTGTAATTATTTTTATTGTAATTATTTTTCTATTTTCCCTTTAGGTAAACTTTGATATATTCAATATTTTCAATCCCACACGTTGCATAGAAGTATTTTTTTTGAGTGGATAGATTAGATAAAGGGAAAAGTATAGTTAGACTTTGCTTTGATGGTGTTTGACAAATGGAAAGNTTTTTTCAAAAAAATTTAAAAATAAAAAATTGCATCTTTTCTTTACCTTTCAAAAAGTGCTTATTTTTTCAACAATTAAAAGTTAATCCTAAGTTTATCCTATTTCCCTCCCATTGGATTCTTCTCGACTATGGTGGGATTCAAAGACCCAATATATGGACATTTAAATTTTTTCATAAAGAAATATGGAAACTATTATATAGATGATTTGATGATTGTAATTTATTCCACGAAATGGTTTTTATTTTGAGTGATTAAATATTGTCAAAATTATAATTAATCTTACGAAATACCTGATTCCGTAAGACAGTTGATATATTAATCTGACAAAATAAACTACCTCTTTTATTTTATAGATTAATCTGGTAAAATAGGCTTAAATAGGATTAGATGCTGACTGAATGTGAACAACTTGACGACGAGAACTGATTTTTCACATAAGTGTAACTTCGGTCGTTGAGACATAGTATATATTAATCAACCTCCCTAATTTGTTTTGTATTCTTTAATACATATTAATTTAGATAATAGTATTCTCAATTATGTTTTGCACAAAAATTCTTATATAAAGGATGCATAATTGTACCGCTCGTACTATTTTAATAAAAACACATATTTATACTTAAATTAAAATGTCAAATTTTTTTTTAATGTTATTTTTCAAAGTAACATCAGTATCGAAATATATATAAGTATATGTTGAAAAAGTATAGTACCTTACCATTAGGTTTAACAATTATTATCTCATTATTTTTAAATTATGATTGAAATAAATGTTATTCAAATTTAGTTTTAACCTGCTAATAACGATTATATATAGCAATCTGATTTAAATCATCACACTAAGTCCATTTTACTGCTATCACATGAAATACAGAAATACACAATTGCATGAAATCTTCTACTTATAATGATCAATCATTTTTATGTTTATGGTTTTTCTTATACGAACAATACTTTATAGAGCATGTGTGATAAATATAGATAAAGTTAAGTAATAGCAAATTATAAGTTAATTGATAGTGAATAATTTGATTTCAAGTTGATAGTTGATAATAGGTGATAAATTACTCAAAGTATCCGTTTGGTTGCTCTTTATGAGCAGGATATATAATAAGTTTTTTGATTAAATAAAGGGAAGCGGGAAGCCCGTGATAATTGATATGGGTAGGATCCGGTTTCTTAATTATCACTTATTTTTATTGCGATATATTTATTTAAAAAAATATATAACTTTTTAAATTGAAATAATATATTTTAAAATACAATATGAATAAAAATACCACAATTAACAACATAATTATGTATATTTTGTTAAAATGTATGACGAGTCGTTTGTTCAATGGCCAGACCGCCTCATATAATAATGTGTGAATAAAGTATTAATCTTTATTGTCCCAATAATGAATTCTATCAACAAAATTGCAAGGGAAAATAATGAATTTTGCAGTAACAGGACCACATGATGGATTAATGGACTATCTCAAGTTACTATGGGACCAAAACCAATCAAACTGTTGTGAAGAATTTCATGTTCATCAAATGCTTTCTTGTTGCTTAAGATTTGGAACTATTTGATGTCATGATTTGGTCTTTGTTAGCCTAGGGACAAAAACAAAAAATTCTATTGTTTGTTTTTAGTCTAATGACTTAAAGTATTCCAACATAATTTGCTCGATCGAATGTTTAAATTCGACTCATTCGGTCGATTACAACTCTATATATTAGGATCTTGTAATATTTGAACATCATACTCATTGTGTATGACATGTTTAACTCCTTTAGTGAGAATATTAATATGTGTCCACAGTTGGTAGTAAAATCAGACTGAATAAATATATTATTTGTTCAATAGTAAATTTGGAACCAACATTAAGCACTTCACATATGCTTCATAACTAATAAATGAATGTAACATCCTAGCTAATTATAATCAAATGGAAACATATTTGAAATTGTAATGAATTAGAAATTCACACATAGCTCACAATAAAACCACTAAAGCACTATTAATAAGACAAACTAATTTATTGCCTAGCATATGTGCTTTTTAACTAATAAAATGTTTATAATATGAGTTATTTAATCTAATTAAATAATCTAAAATTCAATTTTGAATTTGAGAAAAAAAAAAAGAATCAGTGCCCAAATTGCAAATCATAATCAAATAAATTCAGTTTAGGCAAAAATTTGCATCAAGGTCAGCCTAGTTCTTATAACCATAATTATTTATTTATTTATTTTTTGAAAGTTTAATCTCAATTTATTGATATCATATCACTAAAAATAAAAATATATTAGGTACAAAGAAAAAAAAATATTGAAACTTTTTGAAAATTTTAATCAATAAATTTTGATCCGTTGTTGATATCACATTACCTAAAGTAAAAAATAAAAGTCTCACTGCAGATAGTAAAGAAAAAATGACCATAAAAAAAAAAAGAGAAAAAGAGTAACAAATATAAAAAAAATCTTATTAAATAACTAATAATATTTTTTATGGGAAACCATTACCATTTCAAGTAATTGCAAACATTTATTTATTTATATCATGAAATGTAGGCAAAATAAATAAAACACTTCCAATGTTAAGTAAAAACAATGTCATGTTCATGACGACAAAAAAGTGGTCCAAGAAGGAAAAAAAAACAATAATGCTCGGTGATTATTTTGTAACTTGCTAAAATAAATAGGTTTAGTTACATTTAATTTAACACACACACACATATATATATATATATAAGTTAGAACTTATTTATTTATTATTTTAATCATCGAAAATGGCTTTTTAAAAATCGAAATTTATAAGTATTTTGTTTAATTATTTGAAGTTTTTTCCCCCTTAAATGTACGTGTTATAATATATTTAATAAATTACCAGGTGACATTATATTTTTGCTCTTGAACATTATGTATATGTTGTACTATTATGGGTATTGTGCAGTCAGGACTCAGGAATATAGACTCCCATACCCAAATCAAGTCTAGTCCAAGAACAAAAATTAAATCCATCGGCCCATATACATACATGAGAAGTCCATCGGCCCATATAATACAAGTTCTTCTCTTTGTCCCACATCCGGAAAAAATATAAACTTCTATGTGTTGAGATAATCCTGTTTCTGAAGAGAAGATTGCCACTTAGGTGGCATCCGTTAAAATTGGAACGATACAGAGAAGATTAGCATGGCCCCTGCGCAAGGACGACACGCATAAATCGAGAAATGGTCCAATTTTTTTTTTTTTCTTTCCATTTTTCAATTTTTTTCCTGGTTGAANATCGTGGGTTTGTCTTTCTTTGTTTCGGGATTCATCGTGGGATTTGAGGTGCCGTTTTATGTTTCACAGATTGATTTGTATCGACATTTTGGGGCTTGTTCTGAATCTGGATTAGCTTATATCTTTTTCTTTTGTTATTTAATCTATTCCAGGCAGCTGGTTAATGGGACATGGGTCGATGAGATTCTCAAGCAGGGTGTTATCTCTGAGATCGATCCTATCAAGAGGTTTGTGTTTCATGTCTTTCCATTATTCTTGATTTGGTATTTGGTGTTTGAGATTTTAGTCTTGTGCCCTTTCTTCTGTTCGACATGTCCATTGCTGAAAAACAAGTCATAAAGAAAAGTGCTTTCTGTAGACATTTCTTCACCTGTCACAGTTAAATTATAAGCAGCTAACCAAATATCATTATATATCCCTCAGGATGGCAGATGAATATCAGAACCAATAATCCGTATTCTGTGGATAAGATATCTTCATCCCTTCTGCTTGTCTGCGTTTTAAAATCTAGCCAAGAAATCATCATCACCACCAATTACTAAATTTTCATTTTTGCAAAGCTTATGTGGCTCATATTCGTCAGGGAATGCTATTTGAAGTTGGGGAAGTCTAAAAACGTAAAGTAAATATGATGATAATATCGAGCAGTATAAGGATTACAAATTGATGTTACAATATTAAGTTAGCTTGATACACCTCAAAGAGGCAACACTTTTGGAATGTGTTATGGGGGCCTAAAGTAATTGTTCAGTTGATTTCGTTCGAGTATCTAGCAAAAGAGTTGATTGTTTCATAATTCTTGCTTGGAGATGTTAAAGATCCGAGTAGACGGGTGTTTTCTTGTCTGTTGTTTCATAATTCTTGCTTGAGGGATGTTTCATAAGCCTTGTTGTAAGTGGAGTAACAGTTTCCTTGATTCTAATTTTCTTAGTTAGAAAATAGTTTTTCTGTCAATAACTAATCATAACTGGAACATTTTCCGCTAAGTACTGTGTGTCACGTACTCACGTCCAAGGTACAAAAGCATTTTTTTAACAACTAAATGAATAAGTAGATGACATGCTGAAGTTATGAAACAGAACTTTCAATTCATGAATCGGACTCTGAATTGGTCACAAGACAGTTTTACGTGTATCGTGTAATGAAGCATTAGTTTAGTTTGCCGTGCTCTCCGGCTAGTATCTATATACAGTCATGGTGAACATTTCTAACATCTTGTTAGGCCGCAAGAGATGAACACTAAACATATTCTCATTACCATTTTCGTTCAACTAATTTGAAATTACTACCTCAATTCTCTCCATTAATAGAGATTAGTCGAGGAACTTTGTAAATTTAAATTTGTCTTGTCATGACGCGCGGTCACATATCAGTAGTAGGTGACATAAATTCCCATTACATTTGAAAGTTTTATCAGCATTAATTCTTTAGCAAAACCTTCCATTTTATATAATCACAAAGTTTTATCTACACATATAGTTTGCTAATATATATAATCCACAACACGGAAAATCCTCTCGGTTGTATTCATTGATTCGTTGAATTATTTGGATCCTTTTATTTTATGAAATCGATGCAATTGATTTTAAATTGTATGTTTCCATCTCATCTAATCTAATGTAATATAACTAATGAGGTAGCTTTGGTGCAATGAACATGCCCTAATCTCAAATCTTACTCATATGTCCACATTGCACTAATACTAATACAAAAATTATACTAATGATAAAAATGTACAAACATTATACCATCACCATAATTCTTTGGTCGGAGTTCATGCAAACAATTTTGGATACTCCTACAATTAATATAATATATATTCAGTAGACTATATAATATATATGATATGCTTATGATTTTTCTAAGAGTTTCACTGAACATATTGAATTGTATATATTGCTAGGTTAATATGCGAGTGTATAATTGTATATGTTATAGATTTGTACCCCTACTGCATATTTATTCAGTAATTAAACTGATTATTAGCTTAAATTGATAAATTCAATCAAGTGAACGTGAAATAGCACTAAGAATAAAGGAAATATTACACTATTTATAAAGTTTTAGCATTTTTTTTTCCCAGGTTATATTAAATTCTTGCCAGGACTTGTAAGCTCAAAAGTCATATTATATACTATATAATGATAATCATGGGAAGGTGATCGGATCATTGGGAAAGCAAAATTTAAAATGGGAACTATAAAGGGGTAAAACATTATAACGAGGGTTGTTATTGTTGATTCCAAGAGAATAAATGTGCTTGAATGATAAATATATTGAATAAGAAATAATATTATCCTCCATATGGGGAAGGAGCGTTGTTGTTTGCGTCTATACATGGTCTCATCTTCTAGCTTGGGATGAACTAACGAACTTGGAGCTAATTTAGGCTCAGTAGAATATTATGGGTAGAAAACCAGAAAAACTTAGCCAAACCATGTAATGATGATTGATGAAGTTATATATAATTGGAAATCTAAACAAATAAATGTAAGCTATATATAATTGGATATCTATTATTTGTTGGTGATTCAAGATTCATGAAGTTATTGAAAACGATTCTTGTAAAAGAAAAAACAAAAGGTACTAATAAATCAATCTTATTAGCTTTTGTGATCCAATATTTAGGAAGTTAATAAAAACAATAATAATAAATCAATCTTATTAGCTTTTGTTGGTGATTCAAGATTTATGAAGTTAATAAAACAAATATTTAAAAAAAATAATAACAGTTCTAACTTTTGTTTTTCTATATATTTTCATTAATATTTTTTTTATATTACTTTAACTTTATTTATTACAATTATTCTTTTTACTCCTATTGAAAGTAATCCTTTCATTTTCTATCCTTATTTCTTAAATCAAATAATTTTTTTGAAAAACAAAAATCTACAAATATCAAATTTACAATATGAATGGATAAGGTTTTATATAGTTTAACACCAATTTGTGATTAGGCCTACAGATTGTGTGGTATAAAATTGTTTCGAAATTGTTTATTAAAATATGACATGTTTAAGAAAATGAATTTACTGAAATTTTTTTTTAATCGTTATTTCCCTGAAACGATAGAAAATATTATAAATAGAACAAACAAACATATCCAGAGATAGTCAAACAACTGAAGTAGCTATAAAGTCGAATCTAGTTGAAGAATAGACCCAGAAGTCGCGTAGAACAACACTAGACCTAGTAAATACAGTACTCAAAAACTCCAAACAAGAGAATCGAATAGCTCCCAATTAAACGGGAATATACAAACCCCAACAACACAATCTGAAACACACAACAAAAACAAAAACAACAAGAATACAACCAAAAACAAAGAAAACACATAAACTACTACTCAATTAACACCCTCATTGCTAGAGTAACAACACTCTGGACCTACGCACCTCGACCAACACCAGGTAGAAAACAGAAGCCCACAATCCAAACCTACAGGTCGAGAAACTCCTCCTACGACTGACTCGACCTGGACCGACGAACCCGAACCTCTCTTGAAAGACCACCTTGAACTGTACTAGGAGAACAAAACCAACACCCTCTCTGCCACATCAACTGACAGGGGAAGCCACAAGACCACCGCCGTCTGAAGGAACGAAATCGAGGAGTACGACGCCTGTCCTCAAGCCGACAACTGCGCACCCGACCTACGCCAGGAGACCCGAGCCATCGGCCTTCCCCACCACCTCTGCCAACTGTTGTAGCACAAGTGACCAACACCTCCAGAAGGAACAACACTGGGGAGCCCGAGATTTCGACCTCAAGACGCAAGTCGAAAGCCACCGCCGGAACAAACCCCATGCACCACCCACGTGCCGACAACTACTCAACTACCACCATTAAAGCATCCAAACCTGGGAAGAAGACTAGGCGACCTGGGCAACCGTTACCTCGCCAAGAGTACTGCCTGACCGGAGCCGGCCAGATGTCGACAATCGTCGTGGGAACAGCGCGCCTGCACGGTGGGGAGGTCCACCCGATTATGTGATTAGGGCATAAGAAAAATTGAGAATTTTGGTCAGAGAGAGAAAATTTTGCGATTAGGTTACAAACGGAAGGTTGGAATGTGGCTTGAGTCATAATATGTGAAAATAGCTTTTTTTCACTCTACCATGAAATATATTAAGTTTTTCATATCGCTTGCTGACAAGTTAATTATTTCACCCAGAAAGTGCGAAGAGTTATACGAATGAGCCATACAACTGTTGCATATCCATGCATAACTATCGCATATTCAACTCACATTATATTCGCATTTTAACTTTTACACCTCAGGAAGTGCGAAAGATTATGCTAAAAAACCTCATAATCGCATAACCGTATTGTTGCGTATTCATCAAACGATGTCTTAAATTGCCAGCGATAGTAATATATCATAACTTTCATATATTCAGGACACAAGATTTTCTCAGATAAAAAAATTAAATTATCATAACTTTCATATATTCAGGACACAAGATTTTCTCAGATAAAAAAATTAAATTGTCGATCAACAATGTGAAAAATTTAATATATAGTTATAATAGGGTGAAAAAAATACACGCTATTATATTATACTTATCATTTCATTTATCTCAATCATATTTTCCCATTGTAACACGAACCTCCATTACCACACCTAATTGTGATTTCTTCAACGGCCCAACCCCTTATCCCGTTTTCACTATCCTAATATTCCTCAATTATAGAGCCCCACGTTTACTTGCACACACTACACATACACACACGCACAATACACACACATGTGTACGTGTACAAATACCAATTTTTTCCTATATATATTGTGAAGAGACCACTTTTTTTTTTTTTCCTAATAAACCTACCAAATAATTCTGCTGCTTTCATTTCTCTCTTTCTTCAACCTTCACTCTCCAATCTCTCACTGAAACTTTTTTCATTTCCTTCCCAATCTCCCCAATTTTTATTCATCATCATTTAAAGCATGCAGCCTGTTAGCAGAGAATTATCTGGCGGGAACTCGCTGCTCAACAACCACCAAATCTCACCCCTCGCCGGCGTCGTCTCCGGATTGCCGCCGGAGAATCCCCAATTCGATCCAGCCGACGCCTCCCACGACGATTTCCTCGAGCAGATGCTCTCCTCCGCGTCCTGCTCCGCCGCCTTCCCCTGGAATGACGACCACGCGCCGCCGCAACTGGAGGACCGGTCCACGGCGGCGCTGGCGTCCAGGCTGCGGCAGCACCAGATCGGCGGCGGCGCGGCCAAGGCGTTGATGCTCCAGCAGCAGCAGCAGTTTCTTCTCTCGAGGGGTCTAGCCGCGGCCGGCGGAGACGACGGCGCGCTCTTCTCCATGCCCAACGGCGACCAATTCGACGTCAACTCATTCAAATCTATTAACACGGTCGGTTTCTTCGTTTTTTTTTTCCTTTTTCCTTTTCAATTAAATTCTTGAATTTATTGGTGTTAATTTACTGCGTGATAGTTTCAGGCAAATGATGCATCGGTTAAAGCTCTATTCAATGGCTTCGTCGGATCCATGAATCAAACTGCAAATCCGCCTCACCAGTTTCACCATCCTCAGGTTAATTCCATTTTTTTAATTCTATTTTTCTTCTCAAATCTCATTTAAATATTGAATTTGTACAATCCTGTATGTTTAATCTCAAATTTCGGTGGTGTAATTTAACTTGGAAGATGACATTCCAGGCCCAGAGTTTTGGTGCCGCCGAGGCAGCGGCGGCGCCGGCCATGAACCAACCAGCTGCGAGCGGCGGAGGAGCATCTGCCTCCGGCGGACAGCCGCGGCAGAAGGTGAGAGCTCGGAGAGGACAAGCGACTGACCCTCACAGCATAGCTGAAAGGGTAAATACTATAAATCAGTTTCGAATTTTCCCTTTGATTTGTTTTTGTATTTTTCCTTTCAGAATTGAAATTGAATTAGTGTAGCTTATTTGTCGTTTTTGTTATTTGTTACTTTTTGAATATCCGGAGAATATGTCGTTTTGAGTGTTTTTTGACATTTTTGTTGGGAATATGGGCAGTTACGGAGAGAGAGGATTGCGGAGAGAATGAAGTCACTGCAGGAGCTCGTACCTAATGCGAATAAGGTTATTCAACTTCTCCATTATCATCGAACATTACTTAATTAATTACTCATAATCCATCTTAATATTGGATTAAGTACCCAAAATTTAACTATCCCATTATAGCACTATTTTTTAGCATTAACAAAAAATGACAAAAAAAAATGAACATTTATATAATAAAAGTTTAAAAAACCATGTGCTGAACTTTAATTGATGAAAAT